AGTCCATAGAGCTCTGGTCTCATCCAGGGCCATGGTGTGGTTCTGTCCCAGCGCAACCTGGATGATCTTTTTGTCGGCCAGGGGACCTTGGACAGGGGTAAACTTGAAGCGGGTATTTTCGTCTCCAAGACCCAGTCGTCCACCTCGGCCAACACCGCTGACATACAGATTTGAGACGGGGTCCGTAGTGAGAACGGCGCTGTGAAGTTTCGACATGGCCACATCCTCGATGACGATCGGTCGGTTCAAAACTAGAGCTGGAATGTCGCTCAAGTCTGCGGTGGTGGAGCCTTCTAACCCAGCACTCTCAAGGTACTCGTCGTAGAATCGTTGAAGCAAATGCGCCGGCCGTTCTAGGTAAACACGCTCGGGGAACTGACGGTCATCCTGATCCCCGAGGCCCAATGTCAGGTTCCGGTTGCTTCCGAAGGTGTACAAGTCCTCGCCAAGGGCTCCATGCCTCCTGGACTTCTTGGAAACCCTCTCCTCAGCCACCTCGTCTTCGTTGTCTGATCCATCTTCCTCCTCCTGCATAGCTGCCAGTTCCCGAAGAGCTACCAAGTCGCGCTCGCCGATAGTCGCATTATACAAGTCGAAAGGGCTATTGCCTTCGTGATCCTTGGTCCGGATCAGTTGTCCAACCCGGAGGAACGATGCGGTATGTCCTGCTAAATCCTTCCGTTCTTTATCGAGCAGCATCCGGGCAATCGAGATGTTCCCTGCGTATAGTGCGCGATGAAGGGCATTCCAGCCACTCTCGGGGTCTTGGGCGTATATGTCAATGGCGGGGTGCTCAATCAGGGCTTCGGCGAAAGATACAGCGTTCTTGGTTGTCGAGGAGGCGGCGCGCAGAAGAAGGGTAAGGCCGACATGGTCGCGACTGTTGACATCGACTCGTGAAAGTGCGTTGTTGAGCTGTTTGCGGGGCTTGCCCGACGGACGGGGTGATGTACCGAGAGTGCCAGAAGCGCCGGCAGCACCCGAGGTTATGTTGCTGCTCCGGCCGGACGGCTGGGGGCCGTGGGCAGCGGGGGAGAGGAGGCGTCGAAATTTTTCGACATGGTCTTCCCAATAGTATTTCCAAAGGAGATGCGTCTGCGTCATTAGAAGCCGGATAGGCGGCGGGAAGTCCCTCGGTGGCACGCTTCGATGGCACCTCGCTGTGATTCGCAACGGACCACGGCTTGTTTAAAGGTGCGTTGGGAAGCGTAAGAAAGACGTCCACCGGGAAGGATAACGGTCGAGTTCTTTCGGGTGTGCCAGTCAGTGCGTTTGTGTGTGTGTGTCGCGGGTTTTGCTGCCGCGGGTTTGTGAGAGTGGCGACTGTTTAGGATTTGGACGGTTGGAGTCGGACGGGTTCTTGTGTGTTTCTCAGGGGCGAAGACGACCTGAAGGCTAGCGGAGGGCAAATCGATATTTGGTTGGTAACGGTCTGTTTCTCGCTGGTCGGAAAGCAGAAAGAAGTGGAAGTTGGAGATCCCGTAGGTTGCGGAGGTGGAAGAGCGCGGGAGATAAAAAGGATGTCGGGGTAAGACCCGGATCTTCCAGTTGCCTTCAGCCAGAAGTCGTCGCCAACTGTCGTCAGTGTCACTGTCATGGATTCCGTGCCACTGTGGAAGGGCAAGGCCACCACACAATGCTAAAGTGGAAGGTACTGTAGCGAAGCCCCGTCCCGGACATTGTTTGTATGACCAATCACAGCTCCTCGTTCATCCTCATGCGCTATTGACGGGACGGGAGATAAGATAAGGGGGCAGAAGTTCCCCTCCATCATCTGGCTTTAACAAGTCCGAATCTGGTCCGGAGCTTGATGTCCTTGTGTGTATATGTGTACACTATAACAGACGTAAGTTAGGTATCTGGATCTTACATTGGATCTGGGAAGCCTTGACGGGAAGTAGGGCTGAAGCATTCAACCGAGGCTACCTCATGCTTGTCTTTGATCGCTTCCAAGAGAATGGCAGCCATGGATGGACCCCATTCATGTCAGAACGGATCTCATAAAGTGGAAAGCACATGTCAAGGAGGATCTACACGGCCATAGTCACCGCTACAGTAGTGTCATTACTCGGACACCGCGGCTCAATGGAGCTTCTTCATTTCTGGGCTTTTCATCAAGGCTCCTCTAACATCAGTTGTGGTTTGTAGACACTTGGCAAAGAAATAAGAATGAACAAACCGACAAAAGCCCCAATCTCAAACCAACCTTCCAAAGCTTATTAGGTAAGGTACTGATCCTGACTTCAGCTCAGCTTCGGCCTCCCGCTGTTAGTGATTCGCGCCATGGAAGAAGGGTCTCCGTAGCTCCGATGCCGCTTGTTAGCGGTGCGCCAAGGACGGGAGCAAAGAGTCACTGTGGAGGCCCTGAAACGCTGAGGAGCACCCCCAACCCAAGCAGGAACCGCCGCCAGACCCGGCCATGGCAGGCTGACTGTTATCCACTTGTCCGCTATCCGTCCCTGACTCCCGCGTCCGGGACATGTTCCCTCTTCAATCCGCCAAGTGACGACACTTTTGGTTTTTTTTCCTCCCGTCTCTTCAACTTTTGCTTGCGCTCTTTTTCTTCTAGACTTGTTGTCTTACATCTTGTGTTCTTGGCTCCCATAGATACCCCGAATCTCCTTCCATATACTTGGTTCAAAATGTCGTCCGACAAGACCCCTCTGCCTTTTGGCTACACCTTTGCGGCCGGTGAGTCGCTCCCGTCTTTCCTCCGATTTGAAGCTTCCACGAGCTCCGGCTGCGCAATTGACACTCGTGTCGCAAACACCACGGACTAATGCTAACCGTGATTTCTTGTGCTAGGTGCCATCGCTGGTGTCTCTGAAGCAGGTTCCCCCCGAAAAATGAACCCGAAGCGTCCGGTTGTGTCGTGTAACTAACCAGAACCTTGCGCCGGCCCCTTTAGATTTTGGTCATGTACGTCTCAGATCCCCAGCCACCAGTGCCCAATGTGGTCGCGTGCTCTTTGCCATTAGCTCCCAGTACTAACACCGCCCGTCGCAACAGGTACCCTCTTGATGTCTTGAAGACCAGAATGTGAGCGCAACCACCTGCCATACCTCGACAACACTCCGAACAACTATCGCGGCCACCGCGCCCAATGCGCTTCTCCCGAGACTAACCACCTACGCCTCAGCCAACTTCAGTCCGGCAAGCCCACCGCGGGCGTCGACCACTACAATGGCATGCTTGACTGCTTCAAGAAGATTGTCAAGAACGAGGGGTATGCATCCTATTCCCCAGAACGAGGCGTGTCTGGCACGAGTTGACACCTATTTCTTTCACAGTGCCTCCCGCCTTTACCGCGGCATCACTGCTCCCATCTTGATGGAAGCCCCCAAGCGTGCCACCAAGTTCGCCGCCAATGACAAGTGGGGCAAGTTCTACCGCGAGCTCTTCGGCGCCCAGCAGATGACCCAGGGTCTTTCCGTCCTTACCGGTGCCTCCGCCGGTGCCACCGAGTCCTTCATCGTCGTCCCCTTCGAGCTCGTCAAGATCCGTCTCCAAGACAAGGCCTCGGCCGGCAAGTACAACGGCATGATCGATGTCGTTGTCAAGACCGTCCGCAACGAGGGTCTCCTCGCCATGTATAACGGTCTTGAGTCCACCCTCTGGCGCCACATCCTCTGGAACGCCGGTTACTTTGGCTGCATCTTCCAGGTCCGCGAGCTCATCCCCAAGGCCGAGACCAAGAAGGGCCAGACCGTCAATGACATCATTGCGGGTACCATTGGTGGTACCGTCGGTACTCTCCTCAACACCCCCATGGACGTTGTCAAGAGCCGTATCCAGAACACCATCAAGGTGCCCGGCCAGGTGCCCAAGTACAACTGGGCTTGGCCTGCCATCCTGACCGTCTTCAAGGAGGAGGGTTTCGGTGCCCTTTACAAGGGCTTCATCCCCAAGGTCCTCAGACTCGGCCCTGGTGGTGGTATCCTCCTGGTGGTTTACACCAGCGTTATGGATATGTTCCGCAAGATGAGGGACGAGCGCCTTGGCAAGCAGATCTAAGCGAATTTTTGGGGCAGAATGTTGAATACGAAAATTTTGAATGGCTCACACTAACTTCAGCTGTATATACATATCTACCTTATCATTGCTTGGGAGTGTGGCTACGGTATCAGCGGAATTTTACGATTTACAAAAAGCGTCATAGATTGGCTTCTTCGGTTTCTCCGGTTCTCTTCAAATTGGGATGGCCTGCAAAAGCATTGAAAGAACGATCTTTGGGCAACCTTTTCGAGTCTTCCATAGTACTGAAACAAAAGATGAAAAGAATATCAAGTCAGCACATATGACGCCCGTGAAATGAGAGATATGCTTGCAAAGCCTTTCAAGGTCCTACGCAATAACATGCTTATCTATTACCTCCAATCACAGAGTTCAGCCAGTGTCGACGACGCTTCCTCGACGACGACCACTCTTCCACGGATGCCTTAGATGGTGTCCATTCCTGTTTCTCACATTGCATCACGCTGCTTGATTCCAGTAGAGGTGAGCTAGTGCGGTGAGAAGGGATAGTCGACACTATCAACCTGAGTGTCCGGACGCGAGACCATCTCCGGCTCACGCCCATGGCTTAGGGAAGTCCGAAACCATGATTTACCTTTAACCTGGAAAATTTCTTGTTACTTTTCTCGTCTTACTGACGACCCAGAGGTCTCTTTGCCGAAAGCAGAGCGCAATCTGATTCGAAAACGCAATGTTTAAGTCAAAAGGCATGGGGATAGTTAAACATGTCAGTCAGTATAGTCCTTATTCAACCTGAATAAAGTTACCCGCCATCATATCTGTCCCCTTTTTTGAAGAAGAAGAAAAAAAAAGAAAAAAAGAAAAAAAGAAAAGAGAAACACACCCAAAACACCAAACGGGAGGGAAAGAATCGGAATCCCAGGCCATAGAGAACGCCAGCAGTTAGTTCCCAACCACACCCCATCCTCACCCAATCATCCCCCCTATGCCTTCCCCTTCCCAAACCCTGCATTCCCCTCGTCACATCATGTCTTATAAACAATCAAACACCCCTTATCCACTACTCCATTAGGAAACGTAACCTCCTTCAACTCCAGCCCCTTCCCCGATCCAGTCCCACCAACATTCCCATTCCCCTGCTGCTCCTGCTCCTGCTCCTGCTCCTGCTCCTGCCGCAGCGATCGCATCCCATCCCCATACTTACACCTAACCATCCCATCCAGCACCCAACAAAGCTGCATAACCCACTTCTCCATGGGCCGCTCGTCGTAACAGCCCGCCCACGCGCCCGCAAAGTTCACAGGGACCAGCCCGTCCTCGCCGCGGTTCCTCGCAAACACTCGCAAGAAAAACCACCACACGTGGTGTCGGGCGTGGTCCCACCCCTTTTTGTTTTCGTTTTCCCTGAAAGAGCCCTTGGGCAGGGACCGGGATTTCAAGAAGAGGTGTTCAAAAAAAGGGAGTAAGGTCGCGGTAGGCAGGGAGAAGTCGCTTAGGGAGCGGGAAAAGGAGGCGAGGAAGGCGGTGGGGTTGCGGCTGAGGGGGCCCGGGGGGACGGGGGTTGTAGGTGAGAACCTTATGGGGGAGGTGGTGGTACTGTTGGAGGGAGAACGGGAGTTGATAAAGGGGATGAGAAAGTCGCGCTCGAATTCAAGCCACATGGGAAGAAGGGCCGGAGAGAGAAGCCAGGTGAGGAATTGGGTGTAGGAGGTGAAGCCTGCTTTGCGGGAGGCGGGTTCGAGGATGGAGCGGTATTGGGGGATGTCGGTCATTTGTTCCATGGTGAGGAAGAGGGTGGTGTTGGTGGTGTTAGTATTGATATTGGAGGACATTTGTGGTGTAGTGGATGTGGCGGTCGTGCTGGTAGTGGCGGCGGTAGTGATGTCTTTGGTGCCAGTAGCCATGTTGGGTGTGGCTGTGGCGGTGTCCTGGGTGTTGGTGGACATTTTAGGTGAGGTGGGTGTGGCAGTGGTACCTGTCATGGTGATATCTTCAGTGTCGGAGGACATTGCAAGTATTGTTATGGCAGGTGGTTGTTGTTTGCTTTGGTTTCTTCTTGATTCGTTGCCGTCAAGTGGTTGTGAAGCTGCTGTTATAAACCTTTAACGCTCTGGATGAGATTGATTGTGGAAGACAAAAAGTCGAGATGAGCTATCACTTCGAACACTTATATATCTCGCAGCTCAAACGTCATCATGGGGCGTGAGTAGGTGCTCAAAGAGAAGCTGTTTTACCTGATCGTGGATGTGAGACGGGCGATTCATAGCGTGAACGCTTTGGCTGTGCTCCGAAAGAGAGTGGTGTTCGAAATACATCCTCACTGTTCAGTTCGCAACGGTTATGTCAGCGCAGATACTCCATGTCGTTCTTGTGAATACATAAGCCCGGCGTTCCGCGTCGAAACAAAGAAGATGACAGCATCGACGAGAGTGTTCATTGAACAAGGCAACAATTCAAAGCCACAGGGACTAGAACCCGGTCAGAAGGCCTTAGTTCCGTCCTAAAGACAAAGAAGGTAGCTAGTTTTCCCTCTGATATTTGCTACCTAGGGTGCGCGCATCATGGATGGTGGGTTAACAACATTGTCTTGCTCTCAAACGTACGATGTCGACAAGCGCATTATCCACAAAAACACCCGGGATTGGCGCATACAGCTGGCAAATTTCATGTTAGATGGAAATGTGGTGTATTTCTGAACTCAAATAAGAAGCAGAGGATCTCTTTGACTGACAAAGTGTCAAATGAAACGATGGTTCTTTCTAACCTGGAATAATTTTGTGGTGGTGCTGAAGCGACACTCACCTTGACATACCTCTTAGTTGTAAGTAATGTAATGTCCAAACTCCCTCTCGCAAAGACCATCAAGGTCAATGGTCAGATCCGTCGCCCAAGCTACCACGCCCGCGGTATGCGAATTGCGCCAACCACTAGGTCGAGCGCGCCATCCTTCGGTTCATTTGACCTGGTAACAGAACCAGGCAATTTGCTGGGCAAGGTCTCATCCAACCTTTGAAGGGTTCTCGAGGGACAGGGAAACGCTCAGGTATATGAAATTCGTGATGCGATCGACGACATCCCGGCCCCTTACGCTAGGATCCTTGATATTGATGCCATCATCTGTGAAGTCGGCCGACTTCGAGCTCATGGAAGAAAAGTTCCACAACACGATTAACCCGATTGTCAATTGAGTGATAATCGGGGAGTCCCAGGATCTCACCGATTGTGCCTTAGATCTCATAGCGTGACATGTTGACTTGATTATGACCATATTAGTAGTTTTGTTGACCGTCGTTGTTTATGATGAGGAATCAAACTGGGCAAAAGTGAAAAGCGAGCAGGCATATTGATGGACGCTTGTCAATGGGACCCACGGACGATGCATCATAGTTTGAGACAGTCAAACAGATCTCGGTAAATTCTGACGGCTGTGTTTTAGAACGTAAAAATTTGAAGTGTTTTGGAACAAGCCTTGGTCAGCTTACAATGGGGTTGTGATGACCATGCCATTGCTGGGTTCCACAACGGCCTTTGTCCAATTGGTACTCATATCAACTGAATAAGCGGTTGAAGACAGTGGCGGATGTTCGGCTCAGTCTCTCATCTGCCTAACATTGATGTTGATGCGCTTGTTCTTCATCCAGCCCCTCCAGGCCTCATACTTTCCGTCTTCCGCGGGCCAATCCTCCAGCCATTCGGGACAGGTACCCTTGAAGATTTTGGGCACACCATGCCAGGCAAATCTGGACTCCTTGGTCATGTAAATGACATCGCCGGACCGTAGCCTTAGCAGCAAGAACTTCTTCTCGCTCTTGCCAGTTTCACTTTCTTTGGTCTCCTTCTGTTTTTCCTCCGCTGACACCTTGCCCCAGTCCTCAGGGCAAATCATGAAGAGGGAATCGCAGCCGATGCTCAAGCTGATCAGACCTTTGTCGGTCTCCTCTGACACATCCCGGTGCATCATCATGGTGTCGCCAGGGGTGTAGAAGTTCACAATGGCAGCTTGGGCGAGGGTCTCGGGGAACAGGGTCTCGAGAAAGCCGGAAATGTCTTTGGGGAACTCGGGGGGCAGCTCGCCCGGGTAAACGCGATTCGTCCAGTCATACTGACCGCCCAGAGTAACCCAGTGTAGCTTGCGGTTGAAGACTTGCTGAAAGGTGAGAGGCTTGTGCACTGAAGGGTCCTTGGGCTCAAAGCAAGTGTCGGAATCTGGAGGGTACGAAAAGAAGGATTCCTGAACGCCTGTTTCGGGATCGACGGGCGGGTAGGGGAGCTTGAAATGGAGGTGCATGTTGGTCTGGTGATGGGGCTGGTTGAGATCGCGGTGGATGATGTTGCGCAGGAGCGTCTTTTGGACCTCTGGGGGAATGATGTTTGGGAGAATTAGGAGGCCTTTGGGGTTTGGTCAGTAGATATTCGTGATAAGAGAAATCCAGGGATTTGTGTTCACCAGGCAAGAGGGGATGGTAATAGATCGGAGCGTCCTTGTCTGCGCGGAACTCCGGTGAATTCTCGGGGCAGATGTGGTTGAACGACTTGTTCAAGATTTTGGTAGGGATCGAGCCAGCGAGCACGAACTCGGGAGCCTTTTCTGGACTGCGCAAGTCATCGATCTCAGGGCTGTTCATGACAATCTTCTGGTCGACTTTGGCAAACGACTTCCACTTGAGTCTCAGCTCATCCGACGGCTGCTCATGCGCATCCAGGTCATGGTGTCCACCCATCATTTCGGAGTTGACAGAGTGCAAAGGCGATGGAAAACTGAGTGTAATATCCGAAAGAAACTCAAGTGAAGAGTCGTTCTCCTTATACGCCGGTATTTCACTACGGTGTGACGTTGGTGGTGTTGTTGTCTAGTCGAAAGATGAAATTGTGGGAACTGAGTGAAGCTTCAGTTGGATGGTCGAGATGCTTTGGACGTGGAGGTCAGACTCGTCTGGCTACCTAGAGCCTCTGAACGCCACAAGTCAGGGGTAGTCAACAGAGGTCGTGGCTGCCTCATTGCAGTGAGCTCGGATACCAGTACACCGGCACCGAGGGGACGGAGGGCTCCCGACGGACATCATGTCGGGTGTCACTTCAAAACCTGTATCTTTCAGATCGATACTTATCCGGAACAAAAGGGTGTCCTGGATTTGACGCGAAAATGGCATTCACCATCTTGGGACGCGTGCCTCCCTCCCTTGCAGTCCAGTGGTTTCCGTGGCGCCGTCGCGGTCCGCGCTGTTTGTGTTGACACCGATGAGGTGCCCGGCAAGCGCCAATCGTCCCGTCTCCAACCACAGTCCACGTCTGAACCCACTGCACTACAGCGGGTCACCCCCTGAACCGTCCGCTAAATCCGGAAAACCATTGCACAACTTGAACGAACTTCGATCTTAAAACAACAACTCGCGCGCCCACCGCCTCTCCTTCCTTGAACTTCAAGTTCTCGTCCCTCCACTGTCCCTCGAAAGACCTGAATTGACGGATACAAAGTGCAGGAATAAGGGACGACAATTACATCAACCGCTGCCACTGTGTCGAAGTGTTGGTGCATATTTACAAATTGCCCATCAGCAGCCCCCCCGTGCCGCATTCGAGCTCCGCCCATAGACGAGCCATCAACGAAACATCACGACAAAAAGTCAACACCAAAACAAAGTATTTACGGTAGTACTGTAGCCTTTTGACGGCAACGACGGACGAATCCACCCTTTTTCTTTACCAATCCCCCACTGCGCTCCCCTCTGGACATCATCTATCCCTGGTTAGACCCTGACTCTCCGAAGATCGAGAAAGCGACCCCTTCAAACGACGCCGGCGGTCACCTTGTCCGTCTGCCGCCCCACGCTTCTGGGCTTTTCCATCACTGTAACCATAGCACCATAGCGCGCTATAGCATCGTCGTAATCGTCCCCCACCACGATCACGAATACCAGGCACCACCGCGACTAGTTCTACGACTCCAGTCGAGGTCAATTCTTTTCTTTTCCTCTTAGGGATAGCAACTTGGACAAGATCGAGGAATCTCCAAACCACCCATCTCAGTATAGCGACCTGGACGGGTAGCACAGGAACCATGGACAACTATCAGAAGCTCGAAAAGATTGGCGAGGGTACAACACCCCCTTCTTCTTCCCCTCCACCTCGGCCCTCTTACTTCTCGGTCCCATACTGACTTCTTATGCCTTCTACAGGAACGTATGGTGTCGTCTACAAGGCCCGCGACCTGGCTAACAGCGGGCGCATTGTCGCGCTCAAGAAGATCCGTCTCGAAGCCGAAGATGAGGGCGTCCCCTCCACCGCCATCCGCGAAATCTCCCTGCTCAAGGAGATGCGCGACCCCAACATTGTGCGCCTCCTCAACATTGTCCACGCCGACGGCGGGCAGGGCCATAAGCTGTACCTAGTCTTCGAGTTCCTCGACCTTGATCTGAAGAAGTACATGGAGGCTCTTCCAGTCAGCGACGGCGGTAGGGGCAAGGCCCTCCCCGAAGGCACGGGCGCGGGACTGCACAACTTGGGACTGGGCGAGGATATCATCAAGAAGTTCATGAGCCAGCTTTGCGAGGGCGTCCGATACTGCCACAGCCACCGTGTCCTACACCGCGATCTTAAGCCCCAGAATCTGCTGATTGACCGCGACGGCAACTTGAAGTTGGCCGATTTCGGTCTCGCCCGCGCCTTCGGCGTTCCTCTCCGTACTTATACCCACGAGGTCGTCACATTGTGGTACCGTGCGCCCGAGATTCTGCTTGGTGGTCGTCAGTACTCGACCGGTGTCGATATGTGGTCCGTCGGCTGCATCTTCGCCGAGATGTGCACACGCAAGCCCTTGTTCCCTGGCGATTCGGAGATTGACGAGATCTTCAAGATCTTCCGGTACGTTTATGTGGTTACCTTCTCTTGCCGCCTCCTTCCTTTTCCCCTACTCTGTCTTGCTGACTTCTTTCCCTCGAATAGTCTACTTGGAACCCCTACTGAGGATATATGGCCCGGCGTTACATCTTATCCCGACTTCAAGGCATCCTTCCCCAAGTGGGTACGTGACTACAACGTACCACTCTGCCAGAATCTGGACGACGTCGGTCTCGAGCTTCTTGAATCCATGCTCGTCTACGATCCTGCCGGCCGAATCTCTGCCAAGGCAGCGTGCAACCACCCCTACTTTGAGGACTACAACCCCAAGCCAAAGAGCAAGTATCGCGACAGCAGCAGATACGCCTAGGGGCGTTCGCCAATTTCGTCGATGAATGAGCATCATGGCAACAGCAGATCGACTATCCAAGATTTGCAGCCGGCTGCTTAGGTTCAGTCAGATCCCCGCAGTTATTGGGACAGTAGTAGCGAGTGACGCCGACACACGGAACCGGTGACAGAAACAAACTGTCATTATCAGCACCTGAAGCATATCATAACATCACACTTTGCTTTCAGGATACTCGAAAACATGCTTTTCGACACATCAAAATACCCATACCTACTCATTGTTGTATGTACGGTTGTGCTTTTAGGGAACAGCGTTCAAAGGGGTCATAGGGTAAAGGGTTTACATTGGAATGGAGTTCTGTCTGCATTACACACAATCGGTGTTATCTGGAAGACCACATGGCATTAAAGGGGTGAATGGGCTTTCTTTTAGCCCTCGAGCATTTTTAGGGAGTTGTGGTGAAGTGTACTCAGGGAGGAAAAGAAAAAGGCAAGACATTGTTGTTTCAATAGATCTCGCGTGTACATATCCCCTATTTAAAACACCGATCCTTCGCGTCTTTCAGCCGGGAATCGAGATGAGATTGTCCATGTCGTGAATACCTCTAGACATCTCCAGTCAGGTTAAGGGAGGTGAGTGGCAAACGATAAAGACGGAAGAAGTCAAATCACGCAACGTTCAATCATTGCATCTTGCCGATGATAGTCCTCTCCGACAATGTCTGTTGAACAACGAACTGCCCTGGACACTCCCGGTAAATGTGGAGGATTCTCGCGATGTGCACCTTCCATTCATTGCAGTTCATCCATCACTGCACTACAATGCAAAATCGGCAAGTCCAGCAGGTGCGATGCAGTGCACATAAAAAATCCAAGGCTGCAAATCAAATGTGCGGCGTAGGCCGGCTGGGGACGAGATATGTTGGTGTAATTCGATCACGATCTAATTTCAACGGTTGAGTGCCGTGAACCAAAGTCATGCACAAATGTCTTGACCATTTACCCTTTTCGGGACTTGGACACACGCAACACTCAGCCGTTGAAGAGCTGGTGAGACCTTCCTTTCAACCACAACTCAAGCTCACTTACCTAAGCGGCTTCTCAACTGAACCTGACGATCTTGAATCTTTAGGTCAGCTACGTACGGCATTGCCGTCGCTGATTGTCGGTTAATACATGTACTGTGCTTCAAGTCAGTAAGCAGTGACGAACGTCCGACTCGAGAGATGGAACTGAGCGAAAGTACCAAGAGCCAGTCTGTTAGCACCAAGAGAATTTTCCATAGCTAACTTCATCCGTCAAACGAGTACCACACTTAAGATACATACGCCGGGTATGAAGCCATTGCGACTTCTGTTTCCGTGTCCACGCCGTTATGAGCCCGGCAGTGCATCCGCAAGCTTGACGCGATACCTAACATCATGATCCTGCAAGCGTTGGCTTTGAATAGTTTGGGTGCCGGTGATGCATTGAGCATCATCGGTCCCATTTCTTCATTTCCATACTGTACTCACTGCACTCACTGCACCCAAAGGATACATCTGGTTTCCTCCTCTGCTATTTCTGGTCTTGGTGGCTTCGGTCATCGTTTACTGATCATGATTATTAGCCCACTCCAACCGTAGACCTAGAGACCGGCCCAACGGTCGGTGATGACATCCGCCCCGTGTCGACCTGGGCGGATGGATGGTGAGAAAGGAAATTGGCTTACACCATATTTAGAGCACCCTGACCGCATCTCGGGATTCGACCTCGACCGCCACTCCGGCTCTGATAAACGCCTGCAACGTCTACAGTCCGCGACAACATCCTTTGAAGTCTGCGCAAGATCATGATAGGTAACTTACCTTACCGTGACTGGGGTAAGTGTTGGTCTTGAAGGATCCCACGACCACGTTGTTGGGTCAGCCAAATCCCAACTGTCATCATGCTCCTTCACAGACCGGGGTGAAAATTAGTTGCAGATCACGCTCAGCCCTACAACCAAGGACCAACTTGCCGAGCCTGCGCCAACCTCCCAGGCAAACCTGCATTTCGTGCATCGCCATCATCATCGCGGCATCGCCAACCTGTCAAGTTCCTTGTCAACTGCACAGTGAACTAAACCGAGCAAGGATTAAATCGCATTTCCAATCTTCTCTCCTTCCAACCTTCGAACTCCCAACTTCGGTTCGACGACGGACGTCGAAGAAGGATTCCCAACCGTTAGACCTGTCAAATTTTCAGACCCGCATATCAAGAATCCTTCTTCATCCTTCAAGTTCTCCAACCACATCGACATTTTGCACATGCATTCCTCATTCCTCATTCAGTTCCACGACCGCCTTCCCGGTCCCAACTCCCAACGAACCTCATGTTCCAACGCAACGCAACGGACCCCATAACCGTGAGTTTACCCGGTTTTCTTAATTACCTTACTTTTTGCGCCGTACATTTTGTACAGTAGTCCTCAACTGTAGCCAAGTGTACATAGATGGCAGTGTAAATGCAAGCAAACAAACAAAAGCAACAATGGAAGCGCGCGCCTATGAGAACCGAGCATCCTACTTGGAGTAGGTAGCAAGCGGCGGCGTCAGCGGCGCGGTAAAGAGCGGTAAGGACGATAAGGATCCTAGGCAATTGCTTGTTCAGCGCTTATTGTGGTAAAATGTCATTACCGATGGGCGTTTAAATCCTGGCGTTTGTTGTCTTCGGTAGGTTGGCTTGTTGCTGTTGTTAGCGGAAGCGACAAGCGGTGATTGGTTGGTTCGCCCACGAAAGCATTAAGTCCGACTTGACTGTCGGGTTAAATTGAATGAGTACATGGTATTTGGAAAACTCGCATCCAGTGCATTTATAATTTGGGATATTTCTCTTGATACAGTTATTTAGGCCGACATTGTGGGCACTGGACAGTAGCCCCCAGATGTCGTCCGATATCTTTAATCCGGCGCCAGGAACGGTGTCTGACGGGATCCGAGCCAGAAAAGGGACCCACCCGGCGCCGGCTCCACTCCTGCATGTTAGCGCCGATGTGGAGCGGTCTCCGGGGCCCGGCCTGCCGAGTCAATCGGGGTCTGTCCGGCGTTTCGTTTTGCGCTTTGGATTATGGTGTTCGGATCTTGAACACCGTTGGGCTGGATTGTCTGGTGTCGCTCGAGTAAAATTAGGTGTTACCTGTTCCTCCGGTGTAACGTCTCTAATCCCGCAAACCAAGATTAGATCAGTGTTTCTCGAGGCATCATATCTTTTCCCGGAGTTGCTTCGTGTGCGGTATTGTTGAATGCAACCCTTCCAAAGGTCTGTAATATAATGTATGTTTAAAAGGTTTGATCTGCGTAGTCAGACTGGTGCAAGAACATGAGAGCAGAATCTCGGTCATAACCCGGCCTTTGATCGGAAGCTCAACTTGGTAATTCAGTTTTCCTGCTGCTCATGTTTCACAAAAAACACATGCACACAAAAGGGGTAGCCGACCAAGGTCAGGTACTTTACTTTCGTAAGATTATAGTGGTTCGTGAGTAGACGTCAGTGTCACCACACCCGTTGAGACCTTGGCAACAACGAACTTGGGGCTTGACATGTCGCATCACGATGATGATCTCAAGACAGGAGCAGCCGTCAGATGAGAGAGACTCCAGACTCCAGACGCGTTCAGGCGATTCGCGCGATGGTGTGAAGCAAATATCGCGTTCGGGACTAGAACCTTGAGAACCTTGGTAGAAGGGGAGATGAGTGGTTGCGCCGGTGTGGTAACACGGCTGCACGTTATAAGCCACGCGGAGAAACCCTGGAGCAACCCAATCTTTAATTCCTTGGTTTAGTTCCCCTGCTGCAACCATCTTGTGTCAAACGGTTCACTTGGGGAGTCGGACAGAGTTTTGATTTGCCTTGGGTGGCTCGCATGTGAAAGGAGGTCATCCTTGTTGAAGATCGTTGGTGATCGAGGTCTGAAAGTCCTGACGAGAAAGCTTGTCTCTTTTTGCTCGTTTCGCATCTGTGGCTTGTCGAGAGACTAAACTCATCCCACCCCTCTCCGAAGTCGTCTTGCAACGCCGAGGTTGGCATCACAGCCTGGTGAAGGCGTTGTATCTTACTTGCTCATGATGAACCACTTGCAACAAGCCCGGAGGCCCCGAGATTCAACTCCTACACTACACCCTCACGGCTGTGTATCCCGAATCTGGTGCTTGGTGTCCGGGCTGTCATGTCTTTGTGCTGAATGCCTCCACAAGTGGTGATGCGTCGATTGCATCTACGAGATAGTTGTGATCAGGTGTATGCCAGGGCAGGGCAGATTTCTGGTTGCTTACTTTCAGCCTGATGATTTTACATGTGGCTATCGTCAGTCAGTGTTGTTGAGCCTCCGTCACGTATGACGCATCAGCGGTCATCAAATGGGGCTTGATCGTCGCCTTCCGACTTTAACCGCATGTAGATCAACGCCAATCAGGGTCTCGTGAAAATTCAGGGACTGAAGAGCCGAGAGGCAAAGATTGCGCGTTCAACCCGTATTTGCGTATTCGAAGCAAAAGAACTTGCACTCGGCTACCAGCTTCTCAAGGAGTCAAGGTATCGCCGGAGTTTTGCTTCCCAAGCGACCACCGAAAGCCACCTAGCTCAGCCACACCCTCTCACCTGTCGTTCTTGATTTCGAGTTTTCTTTGCTGCGAGCCTGTCATTGCGGCTTGACAGGCGACAAGCCTCTTTTGGACATGATTGGCTCTCCGAGTCCAAGTTTCTTAACAAGAGCAGGAAAAGGCAGGACGCCTCAAGGCATGGATCGGCCAATCACCACCTTGGGCGGTAGTTACACGGCTTCTGCCTCCGACATTGGTAAATGAAGCTGACCGACGGATAGATGCTTTTGACGGTGCGATTGCTTGAAAATCGTGGACCGCTATTACGGGATATTCGGAAGAAGCTGGGAAGATTCTTTTTTGTTGCGGTTTTGCCATCCTGCGGCTCGGTTTGACGTGCTTTGGCGGGGAGGAGGAGCTGGCCTCCACTATCATTGTAAGTCCGCGACTGCTATAGGACCGCCGCTCAACAACTGAATGACATTTGTGTGGTTGCCCCCTCCCCCACTGAGTTGTTTTAGGTGGTATCCCTCGTAAGTGAATCCCTGACATCAAGACAAAAGTGACGATTGAGGCTGTCAGAATTGCATAGTTTCTGAACAACATCAAATCATCACCACTCAGGCACGCTAGGGCAATCAATGCAGAGTGCTGGACGCCCTTGACGTCTTATCGGCCCGCAGATGAGCCATGGTGTGAATGCATCAACGTTGAGTGCTTGATGGTTCCCGTCTCCCATTTGAGTCCATTCCGTTCAGCCACGCGTCCCAGCTGTCCCGAAATCGACAGTACTTGTAGAGGGGCAACCACCACAACCACTATGAATATGCATTTCGGGTGGTGAAGCCACATCGATGCAAGTCTCAGGGGCATCTGCGATTGGAATGGTGGATGAATTACCATGGAACCTCCCGCTGCCGCATGGGGTACCATTGACCTGCTGTTGATTTCGTATTCGATCATCGGTTGCCGACTGCTGAAATTTGCGTCGATTAAAGATATCAAACGTGGCTAACCCAGAGGCATCGCTGGCGTTGCGTGGGCGATTTGTACATATCGCAGTCGGGCCTAACCAGGTTCTGCCAAGATCATGGCTGGCTCTGCGCACCGTAAACTGCAGCGACGAGGATGGCCAGCGGTTGGAAGCTGCAGTTTGTTCTATCCATGGAAGATGCCAGCACTGCCGGCGCAGGATCGCATCGTTTGCACGCAACAGCGGACGGGAAGTGAAAATTCAGTTGTGAGTTGGGATAGCAGGACAGCTCATACCTATCAGCAAACGATGTGTAAGTCGTCGGCCACGGACGCGGACCGGCGCTATCGAAATCGGCGGACCCACCCGGAGCGGGCCTAACCTCAAACTCTCGGCGTGGGGTTCCGGCCTATCGGGGCTCATCAGCACGACAGCCTCGTCTTTCTTCTTGGTTCGTTCTCTTGATGCGCTCTTTCGTTGAAGCCAGCAGTCTCGGCAGTCGGAAAGACCTCTTTTCATCATGTGGACAATTGGCGTATGTGAGCTACTGCGCAGATCGAACGCTATTTGCAGTGTTTACCCCTCTCTTCGGGGGTACCGTGGCCGTAGTGTTAAGAAACCGAGGATGCTTCCATACCTGCTCCAGAGAGGCGATGATAACCATTGTGACCGGACTTTGGAACCTAAAAGTGAACGACAGGCCGTCATGGGTGTTTGGACGTTGTCCGTTTCGTTTCATCGGGACGCAGTGATGGTTGTAGTGATGGCGTGCAGGGCTCCATTCTCAGGGGAAATGATGGCACGGATAGGAACAGTGTCAGCGCGGGACACGCCCGAACGCACACCTCCTCCCGAAGTGTGTGTGAAAGCTGGGGAAAAAAAGGACGGAATCTCTGCGCCAAGAAGCCCCTGGGTATTACCTTAGTTTTTGTGATATGGATGCATATCTTGCACTTTGCACGCTTTTGACATTGTGGCCATGACATTCCATGTGAGGTTGACAGTCACTGATATTGAATGACTCCATGACTTCCTCTTGGTCGGCCAGGAAAGTTGAGGGGCGTCGGCTATGTCAGGTGCCGGAGTTTGTTGAGGCCATTTCGAGTCGGCAGGTCGGGTCCATGACCTTGAGAGGCATGATGGCTTGATACGTGGCCACCGTCGCCGGCGAGCTGAAGGATGGACGACGGTGTGGATTGTCTCCTGTTGATTGGGTCGGATGATCACCTGTTGGAGTGCGTTGTCAACCAGACTTTTAGATTCCCCTTCAACTGCCTGCCTGGTCCCAAACCCAAACAAGGGATTGTTTAGTGGAGGAGGAGATCCTCAGGATTGGCTGTGGTCCATGACGGTCTGGGTGGCGGGACCCTAAACGAGACCCCAAACCCGAACCCTAAAGGGCCTGCTTTGCAAAGCACGGGCCCAACCATTGCCTGACCTCATGTTTTTGCAACCTTGTCAGTTTGGGCGACGCTGACTCCAGATCCTTCCTCTTCCATTCTCCAAACAACTGATGGACATTCATGCATCAACTTCTGGCAACGCCTCGCTTTGGAAATGACGATAATCGCAGGTGTAACGACATCCAATCGATGGCGCCCATCGGTCGCGGTTACCGGCACGGGCTGGTCTCTGACATGCTAACCTCCAGATTGGCAGGCCATCGGAAAGAGTCTGGCAGTAGACCGCTTTCGGCCAAAGCGTGAACCCCTCGTCTGTTTCATGTCTGGACATCGGGCTCCAGACCCGGCCAATAGTACCCATGGCTTCCAATCAAAGCCATTGTCCGCCGAACATCTGTTTACCTCTCAACCACTCATCCAGATCTTATGGAACTGTCCCGGAGACGAGGGCATGGCATGGGCATGGGCCGAACTAGACGACCTTCCACTTCAAGGCGGAGATGCGATCCCAAGGACCCAAGAGTGTCCAAGACCGGCGAGACATTGAACAGGTCCAATGTTGATAATTCGAGTCGATCGACACTCAACATTCAAGCAACGCGCAAGATAGGGATGGGCGGCCAAGGCGTGCCTCCCATAGAAACAACGTTTCAACACCAAATTGATGCCACAAGGGCTGCAGATATTGGGAGTCACAAGCTGAACAATGATAAAGGGTGACACCAAGGACTGGCAATATCGACCGTTTTCTGACTCGCAAGTTAACTTTGCACTACCTGCGACAAATATCTTGATTACATATTCTCCCTCATCCGTTTGAGCCGGACTGGATCCCTCGAGAGGGCATATCGGTCAATTCGTCTCCCTTGATGAAGCACTGTATATTAAAGTATGCAATTCCACCATCTTCCCTTGATGCCATGTCACCTATAAGACGACATCGATAAAGGTGCATCCTCATCCATGATTCTTCCTTCCATTTCGCACCCACATATCAGGTCGCTAACATCTCGACTCTTGACCTGATTCAGAGAACCTCATTGGACTACTCATAGTTGACGTGTTTGTTATTTTGGGGATACCCTGTCCTTCCCTATCGTCTCTGTACCACGTCGTCCTGCCTGGAAGCGACATATTGTTGAAGCCAAAACATCGAACGCGCTACGAGCCCCTACAAGTTAAACCCCGTTGAAACCCCTGGCCCGCTTCGCCTCAGAATTACCGCTGCATCCAGAGCCATCGAGAGCGAATCAGACAGCGCCGACGCGTGGTACCGGGCGACTGCTCGAACATTGTATCCTCCTACGCAATTCTGCCAGAGAGAAACCATCCGCACTCGACTCTACAACCGCGCTGTTGTCCACATTAGCGCGCGACTGTTCCGTTGCAGTGGCAGCCCGTCTACCAGAATAAACTGGCTTTTTAAGGTGGTCGGTCAAACGACGTACATATTAATCCAAACAGCGTCCCGCCATCGACAGACACAAAGTAAACAATCACCACCGCTCTCCAAAGCACCAACCAGCACCAACACCGCAAGCGTTGACGCCTGCCTTTCCTTTTCAGTCGCATCGGTATCCACAAAGACAGCCTATAGACAACTCTCCTGCAGGATCAGGATTTCCACTTAATTACCTATTCACCACGACGAGACGATACTGCACACATACCGGTTTCTGTGTCTTCCGACGACTCGCTATCAAAGCTAATTTAGCATCGCCAACTGAACCTACTTAGTGCTGGTCACTTTTACAACATCAAAACACTCCACCATCTTATCTACCACTTGACTCGGACCGAGTCATCCTGACAACTCCGTCCGATCTTCCGTCGCCGGGACCGTCCTGTGTTTGCACGCTGAACATCAGCTCACCGGATCCGCTCGCGATTAGAAGATCACAAAGTCAAGCCACCTCCTTCGGCCCACCGCCGACACCGACACCAAACCCAAGCCAAACCCAAGCTCAACATCAAACTCTTTTAACCCTAAAAGTGAGTCGCATCGCATCGCATCACGGCCGCAGCCAGCCGGGACTCCCTTTCTCCGAGGCATTTCCAGCACCTCTGAACAGCCGACGGCGTTGTCCGCTCACAAGTGCCCTGAATCTTGCCTCAGAGACGGCTGTCTTGGGTGATTGGTTGCATTAACAAGACTAACCAGCCAGACAGGGATCTCCAGCGCCCAGAGTCGCCCCCGGCCACTGCCAACCCACACCCGTAACCCATCGCGACTTGTGCAGCATTCCAGCCAGGGCCGCTCAAGCCTGGAACCACGCTGATCTCACACCCCTCGGCCCATCCTTGACACCCCTCCCCCCCCCCCACTGCGACTGCGTCCGATTCAGTGGGCCACCTCACTCTTTCACTGTTGAGAATCACGGCACCAGCTCACGCAACCCCTTGCCGGTACCACACCCCCTGTCCACCTGTCCTTTCCAGGTTCACCTCGCACCCTTCACCACCTGGAACGCCTGCTCAGCCTCGTGTACTTGCTCTTCTTGCACGTCACCCCCCGGGCCCCTTCTGACGAACAGCCACTGAGACACGCAGCAAAAAGTGGAAAAGCCTAAGGTCCAGAAAGCCCACTCAGAAGCCTCCAGCAGTGACCCATCGCTACCTGGCCCTACTATTTACTAGGCTCATCTACCCCAACTTTTTCTCCCTTTTTCATACATAGTGCCTCATTCCGCCCGCATGAGCTTCGCCGCACGTCAACTTCACCTCGTGTAAGACTTGGCCGGCTGTCCCACACCCTTTTCGCATTTCTTGTTATATCATCACCAGGGTGACCGTCCTCGTCGACATTCCCTACTACAACATCTCTTGTTGACATTTCGTCATCTAATATTGCTGTTGTTGCCTTTACTCACATCAACATACACACACAACACATATCAAGATGGGCCTACTATCAACAACGAGCAGCATGAGCCTCTCTGACCTCAATGCAAAGGCTCTCGACAACTTTGTCTACAGCAAGGTTGACAGGGAGATGATCAGGTTCTTGGCTACCGCCGCCAGCGAAGTTATCCAATGCGATCCCACCATGATGCCATCACCAACAGTCGAGGCTTCTTCTGGAAGGGAACAACAACCTACCGCGCCACCAAAGGTTGTCAAGTGTGAAGATGGCGGACTACCTACCCTCGAGGCCTTCATCAGCCAGCTTGTCGTCAGCTCCAACGTTCAGGTTCCCACTCTCATGTCGACTCTTGTCTACCTCAGGCGTCTAAAGTCCCGTCTTCAACCCAACGCCAAGGGCCTCCGCTGCACCACCCATCGCATTTTCCTCGCTGCCCTCATCTTGGCCGCCAAGTACCTTAACGACAGCAGCCCCAAGAACAAGCACTGGGCTAGCTACACCAACATGTCGAGCTCCGCCTACAACTTTGGCTTCAGTCGCACCGAGGTCAACCTGATGGAGAAGCAGCTCCTCTGCCTTTTGGATTGGGAATTGCGCATCACCGAGGAGGATCTCTACCGCGAGTTGGACTACTTCCTGGCCCCAATTCGCCGTGACATCGAGGTCCGCCACGCCCGTCGCATGCGCGAGAAGGCTGAGAAGCGCCAGCGCCAGTTGGAGGAGGAGGCCTGGGTCCAGGTTGCCGCCGCCGCCGCCGCTGCCCAGCACGTTCAGCAGCACCAACAGTCTCAGCCTACTTACATCTCTCCTCCCTCATCCCGTGGCAGCTCCCGCTCGCGCGGCGGTTACGCCTCTCGCGACACCTCGCCACCTGGTCTTTCCAGCTCCGCATCTTCCTACACCAGCTCCACCAGCGGCAGCCGCTCGACGACTCCCGACAGCGAACTGGACCTTCCTCACTCTTACGTCGCCATCAACGGCGACGACTACTACCAATCTGCTGCTATCCCGCCTTGCGTACCGGAGAAGGATGCCGCGGCTGTGTACTTCAGCAGCACGCGCGGCGCCGCCGGCAACAAACGCGGTGGTCTCCCCTACGAGATGACTTCTGAGGACATGGATGATGGCAGCAGGGTGAAGCGCATGCGCGGCATGCTTGGACGCGTTTTTGGCGCTAACGTTGATCGGAATGGTATTCCGGTCAGGTAATTTGACCTATCGACCTAGGTCGTGATTTTTTTTTTGCTTTTTTGGTTTTCTGTCTCATCACTCTCATCACCACTACTATGCATTGCATTGAAATGCATTGACTGCATTCATACCGGCGTTTTATCACATTTTTTTTTGGGAGAATGGGGTCGGGTCTTGTCGTTTGTCTGCTTTAGAGACCTGTTTTCACACCAAAAAGCGAGGTGTTCACTGGCGGCTGGCGAAGTTTCAACATCAGCATCATTGTCATCATCATCATCATCATTATCATCATCATCACAGCATTTTCATACAGCGATGGTGTGGTTGTATCGTCTTGTTTTTGTTTTTTATACTACTGTCATCTCTCTCCTACTAATGATGGGAAACAAACGGGTTGAAGGATGGGCATTATCGGGATATGGGTGGGATGGGTTATATGAATGGGAATATTGTGTGATTGATGATGCGGACTATGAAAGGAAGGGATCAATGGGTCGTCTTCCGGCATCAAGAAACTGCCGGATCATTTTTACTACATAACACCAAACAAATGGAATAACAAATCACTCTTGTGCTCCTTGAAAAAGGGCAGCAAGGTGATGATTCAAGCAATCACCTCATTGACTCTTTCTTCTCAATATGCTCTACACTCATGTGACTGCTTGGCTGGGTAGGTACCAACAGATTTACCACTATCGAGCTCGCAATGCGCCAATGCCTTCAACACCTCGGCGCAACTTTTTTTCTCAACACGTGGCTGAGAGCGTGTCCTCGACAATGCGGTTTTCGTGTCAAGACAAGGGACGTCCTTGATAACTGTGGTCACGGTTTTGGCCAATCCATGCCGTCCGATCCAGTCTTACGAAAGCTCCATAGAAGGAGTGGAGCCCTCGTGTTAAATGGAGCCTTTCCGGGGGAGTTGGGAGTTGGGAATTGGGTTCCTGAGCAGAACAAGGAAGGAACATGCAGGAGCAACTGCAGCAGCAAATGTTGGGGGATCTGGAGTCTGGGACGGAAAGTGCGGACTGCGGAGCGGGGAAAAGAAAGCCGAAAAAGTCGAAAAAGTCGAAAAAGTTCGGATGAAGACGGCCGGCCGCCGGGAACCTGAACTCTTTGTGTGTGGGGTAAATTGCTGACATATTTTTTTTTGGTTTTTTTTGGGAATTTTGATATGCACGAAAAAGGGATGTCAGTGGGACTCAATGTGTGGAATCTGTGGAATTTGTGGAAAGGGAATGCTACGCTAAATGCGGAATGTGCATCCGTTCCCTTTCGTTTGGAACACGCATTTGGATGGAACTGAGATCGTCGAGACTCGAGGTCAGGTACGGAGATACTTCCATCAATTACTTCCAGGTACCGATATACATACGTAGTAGGAATTCACGGGGAGTCGGGGAGTCGGGGAGTCGGTGATGTCAGCACGTGGATGGGACGGGACGAGATACATTGCGTTCGTCGGTCGTTGGTTCGTGATTTGAAATGTTCAGGCTAATGATACCTATCCGGTGATAACTATCTATTCGTCGTGATGACCGTGAGGCAGTCTCGACGCTGTCTGCACTACACTACACCAGAGAATTGAATCATTGACGATGCTTTCTAGGCAGATGTCCATTTTAGGTTGCAAGTCTTCTTTCCCGTAGGATTCTGACGATGATTGAGACGATCAAAATTCACTTTTATTCATACTGGCGGGCGACCGCGTGTCATATTCCAATGTGCATGACAAGAGAATATCGGAAAAGACGCCATAACTCATCCAAAGTGATTTTTATCTGCCGACTATATCGCCCTATGACCGTATCATGTCATGTCATATCATACCTACTACTCTGTTACCGTATCTCAGATAGTAAGCCTAATTTCCCGATGTCAGACTGGCCCATGTATCATCCCCATTAAAATAACATCAACTTTTCCACCTAGCAGCCAGCCCTACCCGCATCCGACGGGCATCTAAGCTGTCCAAAGCCCACGTGCTGTCATTTAAAAACAATATGCACATTCGACATGCGCAGGCAAAGCAGGTGCATCCCGTTACCGTACGGTATCTAGGCATCCCAGTGGGCTGACTGACAACGATGTTGTTCAACTTTGTTCATCCTGTTCATTTGTTTATCTGTTTATCTCTTCATATCATCGTGACTCATGATACATGCTATTTCAACATTTTCGACAGACAGACTTTCATCTCCCGCTTCTTCCGACTCCGAACTTTCCCACCCAAGGGCACAATTTCATATTAGCCACAGCCACACCAAGCCATTGCGCCAAGCAGGCGGAATCTCATGACCGTTAGTTGATGACTGATCACGATCATCCGAACTGGATTCGCGTACACAGTTCCGCGGAAAAGGGATGAACACGCGTTCATCTCCCCATCACGAACATTAAATGCGAATCTGGAATCTCGAATCACGGTGCTCTTTGGAACAGTCCACTACTGTAATTCGAGGATTGTCTTGGCAAAAGTTCGATTGAGGCGGAGCGCGGAGACTAGAGAGAGGGAGCCCACTAAAGTCCTTATCGCGACCCGAAGCCGCTATGTAGGAGGTCCCCGCTCTCGCCGAGCCCGACGCGGGGCGGCTACCCCCGCTCTCCGTCGCACTCCCCGATGCGATGCCTCGGTCGGCAGTCAGCGGTCGGCGGTCTAGTCTCACGATAGTCGATGCGGTGCCGGTTAGTCCGGGGCTTCCAAATGCCCAGACCGTGCTGAGTATGCTAATTATGGCCCGGGGTTCTTGTTCGGTCGGCCAAGCCGGGGTCTTTGGATTCTTAGATTCTTGGATTCTTGGCTTTTGAGGCGCATTAGCTTAACCCCGGGGCGATCCCCGTTTCCCCCCCGGCTCCGTCCTTCCCCGGTCTTTCGCGGGGCTAGGCCGTTGGGACTTGGGACTTGGGACCCCATTAGCCGTCAAGGTTCCCCGTTAGGAGGTGGCATTGCGAAATTGGCCATGGGCTTTCGCGGTCCACTATGTAGTGTTGTATGTTGAACGGTGAGTCCGGGGTATAGTCTAGGTCCGCCCTGGACTGCATATCATGGTGTGCATTTCCTAAGGTTGCAAATTGCTTATGCACCGGGCTTGTTGTCGAGTTCCGTTGGATCTCGAATCACCCAATCCCGCGACTAGAATTCGACTGTCTTCATGAGGTTGCACGTTTGGTTATTGTTGGTAGGTACCTACCTGCGCAGGATCGTGCATATCGAATTCCTTCCAACCTTCTGGATAAACCAATCTATTTACTCGGAACGGGAGGTTGGAGAGTTTCGTCGTCGGTGAGTTGGTCGCCCATCGGCCGCAGATGAGGTCCAGAGGCAGAGGCCCAGCTCCAGCCTTCAACACTAACCCAACCAACCGCCTACCTGGCGGCTGCGAATTTACCAGCCAGCCGGGTGGGCGTTGTTGGGTTTAGTGTAGGTTAGAAGTTGGTTGCCTTTACCAACCTCCTGGAAATCCTCATGAGTACTGTAAAGTGAGTTGGAAGTACCATATTAGTGATAGTAAATCCTTGATGTCGTTGGGACCATCTGCCAATGGAGTGTTTTCACGTCAACTACAGTGGCCTGTCGAACTTGTGATTGTTCCTCGATCATCTGATTAGTTGCCGACCAACCGACCGAATGAACAAACGAACGGATGACACCCGACCAGCCATTCATTCATCTTGACCAAGCCACGCTGCGATATCACCACTCCCATACTGCAAAAAAGTGCACTTTCCTAGCGCACTACCGCCAAGTTCCCATGGAAAGCTGGTAGTTGTTGGTTGTCACCATCAAATCGTCGTATGCTGCTTGCTGCTTGCTCACACTCGTTTGCTTCATTTTTTGTCATGTGTAGGCACCCGTTCGGTTGGTGACCCGTCAACCCGTCAATAACACAATTGTCAGTTACAAACGGGCGAGTCTTTCAGTATTGGTTCGATCATCATAATCGATGGATACCATAGATGGCTAGGGGACGACGAGGCTGAGAATTGGCAATTTCCCGACTGGCACTGGACAAGCTTGGTCATTGCCATGATTGTACAATACACACGCCCCCCTTTGGAGCCTCCGAGGTATTTATGTAATTGTACCTTGTTGTACCCAGCGGCAATGCCATCTTGCGGCTCAGTGTCCGTCCGTCCATGATTGTACCCCCGCCGTGGGCATGGTATATTCCATGGAAATGGAAGCTTTGATCCGACTATTCTGATACCCACTATTCGTATACAGTCGCCGTACCTTGAAATCTTAACGCCCTATAAGGGGTCAGTGAGTCAGTGACTGTAATCCAAGCCATCAGTTCTTATGCGTTGTCAGGACAACCAAAGAGCACCATATAGACTAGACCGTACTCGCCGTGGTAATCTGGTGGGTACGGTAAGACAGCCAGCCCCACGTCAGCCGCTTTTTTTTTGGGGCATCCTTTTGCTGCTAGGTAAAAACAGGTAAACCTCCAGTGAGTGACCTCCACTCAGTAATGATTCCATTCAGTGAACGTGTCGTCGTCGATCCTTCCCCGTATATTTTCGTTGTACCCGTTACGACGCTGTCATTTCCCAACTTCCCAATTTCCCCAAACTCCCATTTCCCATCAAATCTTGCATCCGCATCCACATCCGCATGTGTGCTCGTTCTAGTCGTTCTACTCGTGAATGCGTGCGACTGCGGCGTAGGTGTGCGCCCAGCAGCCGCTTTGATAATCTTAAGAGTGGTTGGGGGCTGAGCAACTTTGTCGTTGTTCCTTCTGGGGATCGGGGAACCGCTCTGGGTCTTGAATCTTTGAGGTTCCAACCACAAACCCGGGTTTTTATACGGACCCTCCTGCAATCACACCTGCAGGGCGCCGCGCTACGCTAGCTGAATGACATGACGACGATGGCTGTTCAAGATTGTTAGATGAGTGCTGAGTGCCCGCCCTGTCAAGCGGGATGGAAGCCCTCAACTGTGCTGTTGCTACCTTGAAATGTGCCGCTGTTGCTTCTATGTATTGATGTTGCTATTGCTACCACACCACAAATTTATAGTAGTGCTGAAGGAGTTGAGAGCAAGGCAAACAAACTTGCATCCCACTTCTCCCGTCTCTTTCAGCGGAACATGGATTGATTGATGGTGACGGGACCAAAGCTTGGATTTTCCCGCCCGCATATGTCGTCGTCAAGCCGACGCCGGCACAATAGCTTCCCAATAACCTTGCAAATGTGGGTATGTAGGTAGCTCCCGACAGGTCGGGGATTTGTCTCCATGCGCTTGTCGATAGCTTCACCCGGGTTCTCAAGGCTCGTTGTCAGGCTCATCACCAGGCTGTCACTTGCCTCTATCCACACCCCTCGATCAATGAGTATGGCGCTTCCCTGGGTTTTTTTGGTTTTTTTTTAAAAAAAAAAAAATTGTCGATGAGATGCTGAAAGCCAGAGAGACTATGACCTTGATGCATGGCTTCCGCGGCCGGACGCTGATTGGCCAAGCAAGAGGCTGGGTTAGGTAGGCTTGGTGCCAGCCCATCGCTGTGGTGTACCACCATCGGTAGATGCTATGCAAATGATGCGGGCGATGATTGGGACATTGACAACGGGACTCTGCCCTGCTCAAATACAAGGCAGAACAGAAGACTTTTTCGACGACCAAAGTCGACTTTTGAATCATAATACTTGAGTGAAGAAGGGTCGTTTGGCAAGGTAGACGGGGTAGCAATGCAGCATGACCTCTTCTAGAGAGGTAAATGAGCCATCGCGTCTGGGTTGAAGGAGCAAAGTTGAGAGAAGGTCCATTAATTGCGCTCAAACCCGGACCAAATGTCCGCTACTACAAATACGGTCCGTGCTGATGCGTTATCATATCGACTGATAAGATCCGATCAAGCCCTGTAAGATATCATTCCCAGCTCCAACTTCAATGTCTCTCAGATCTGCTTGCGATTCTTCAACACGTCGACTACTAGATCAAGAAATCGGCCGCCCTGCTGAGTGAGCCCGTATAATGATATTTTTTGTTTCCTAACTATTTACCCAATTTCTCTCCAAAATTCCACATCTTCGAAATGTCCGTACGAGCCGGCGGGTACTCCGATGGCATTTCACTCGTATGGACACTATGCTTTTCTTCCGATGATTCACCCATCCATATCATACCCAGAATCCCCTTCCCTATTCATCATGTGCCTCCCTACATCTGCATCTGATGGTTGGCGTCCATCCTCGCCATCGCCAACGGCGTCCTAATCCTCGGATTCTCAATATGATATGCGTATGACTCCAGCGCAGAACCCATCATATCCACAAACTCAAAGAGATGACTCCCCTTGAATGTCTCAGCCCATAACCTGACCACTGCCGCTGCGAGCTGGCGAAGGTTGATGGGGTCGGTAGCTAACCCGTCAGCCGACCTCTGCTGGTGATTGTGGTTTTGTTGTGTCCCTCCGCCGATGGCCGGGTCAATGGGAACGGCGAACTCGGTCTCGTCTAACATGCGCCGTAGAGCTTCGAGGAGCTGGTTCTCATCGACCGTTATCGGCGTGTCAGTTGGGCCGATCGAGGCAAGGGTCAGAAGCCATTTGGAGATCACGACGGCGCATTCATTGTTGCACACTGCGGGAACAAGTTTGGGTTAGTTTGGGCTCCTTGAATGTCGGGGACAGGGATGATCAAAAGAAAAGGAAAAACTTACTTGAATGCTGTACACCCCATTCTGGCGACTTGGTCCTCGCTACGTAGTTGACGCCCATCTTGACCAATGGGCTAAGCGCCTGAATAGCTTGATACACTGCGCGATTGAGCAGCATACCACGCATAAGGAGAGGTGCGTCCGCATATGCCCTCCCAGCAGCGTTGTAATCACGCATTTCCAGATAGCGACTGGCATTCAGGTCCGTGTTCAGCTTGATGAACGCCACCCTGTGCAAGGCCAGAGAATTGGAGTCGACAGAATCCCATGTATCAACCCCCTCTACGTGTCGCTGCTGCTCAACACTGTGATACCACACTCTAAGAGCTTGACCAATATCCTCATTATCCTGTCCCCTTAGCGCTCTCTGCGTTCCAAGGGATGTTGCGTACGTCGCCTGCTTGAGCACAAAGATGTGCTGGAGGATAGCATGAATGAGAACGTAGTTGCCCAAGGATGTGACCTGAGGGGGCGGGCCCTGGATCCCACGATTGAACAACCGCGAAAACGCAATTGACAAAGGAACATCGGTGTTGGGAGAGGTTTGCCGCGCTTCTTGCCACTGGATCGAATCTCCTGCTCTCCACAAACGAGTGGCGTTGGGCAGATAGAGCTGTATCTCAGATGTAAGGAGCAGGGGGACCGTATTGTACGCAACACTGCAGAGGTTGAAGAAGCAGTATGCTATCAGCTTCGTTCGAGTTGCTGACTCGGCGTGTACCCAACTCTCCCAGTCAGGCGCTTGGTTGGGCTCGCCTTGGAGACCTTCTTCCCTGACCAGGAACGCAAGTTGACTTTGCAGGGACAGTGCCTCGTGTAGGATGGCCTTGGCCCCCCACAAACCTATAGCAAAAAGGAGAAGGATCGCTTGAATCGTCTCGAGGCGTGACTGGGGCGTATTCGGGGAACTAGTAGAGGTTAATATTTATGCAACGCACATTGAAAACGCGGCGCTTACTAAAGTTCCCGGTGAGTGTCTTGAGTGACCGGGCGGTCTCGATGAACAGAAGGATATGAGTGTCGAAATCCAGAGCTCGGTGACGGTTTGGCTGAGGTTCGGGGGCTATATTGCCCCGAAGGCGGTAGAAGGCCCTGCACTTCGTAATTATTTCGGCGTCGGATCTGTTCCAAGGCAACAGCTTTGGCGGCATACCAGAGCGCATGGCCTCTCGGTCGCTCGAAGCGGTACTGCGCACCTACGGAAGCGATGGCCAGCAACAATTCAGGGGAAGCCTCCACAGGTGAAAAAGTCGGGAGGTGAATGAAGGGTAGATGATCATGGAAGCCAGTAAAAAAGCCTTCCAAGAACCTCTGCAAAGTGTGGGGCGAAGGAAATACAAAGTTGCTGGGGAGAACCGAAGAAAATTCATCGAGTTTGGCTTTCATCAGGGAATGGTCTCTTGCCAAAATCGTGAAGTTTGCTGCTTTCATCGCGGCACTCCCGTCTGGGCCATCTCGAAGCTCAGGCTGTACCGACGGAAACCTCGACGGAAATGTTGAGTTGGGCTTCGAGGGACCGCCCCGTAATCCGTTCTCGAGTCCAGGGCGAGACCACATACTAAACGATTGGTCCCCGTCGAAGAACGGAGGAAAAGCGTGCGATGACGCATAGTCCTCCATTAAAAAGGGGTCAAACTCGGAGCCTGGAGGTTGCGTAGAATATCCCCCATTCATGACACCAGGTTCCTGCTTTGGATTATGGTTTGCGAAAGCCATAGAGTCCTGGTAAGACTTGGCCGGAGGAAGGTCACCTTGCTGTTGCGAGAGCCCTTGCATCATGGTCGGTTGCATGTGCTGAAGGTTATTGACCTCACCACCGGAAGCCAGGTGCGTCGCCGCGTCGGAAAGAAGATCAAGATTACATGCCGGACCTCTCGATAGAAGCCGAGAGTCAGATGGCATGGACGTGGGCATGGAAGGCTGCATACCGCCGTTTGGGTACTGGGGATGCGTTACTGGCCGGGGCTGGGTGTGTTTCATTTGTATATCGGTATGATTCTCCAGTGGAGGGGGAGACACGACACTCGATAAAGATGTTTTGCGCCTTTTGTTGCCATCTTTGTGGTTCGCATTGTTGTTGTTGTTGTTGTTGCTGCTGCTGGCGTTGTTGTTGCCGTTGGCACCGTCGTTGAGGTGGCAAAGCTTCTCGTGACGGACGAGAAGATCCCTGATGTCCATGTAAGCAGATGTAGGCAGGGCAACGCGATGAAAGTACTTGTAAATATCCCAGGGGTCTTATATGATGGTGCAGAGTGAACAACCGCAAATTATGTCCTATCCTTTGTTTCAAGCCAAACAAAGCTAGACCGAGGGAGAGGGGTTCCAAGTCGTTGGGGCAGAGGGAGCAAAGGAAGTTGGGGATCCATTAAAGGCGGGAAATGAGTGACTGGTTCGGTGCGCTTATGCCGTCAAATGCGCACACAGAAAATGCGGAGATGCTGAGATGGAAGCACGCAACTTACCGTCGTCCGAATCTCTTTCCACATCCCTCCCACTCACACTCGAAAGGCTTCTCTTTGGTATGAGTTCTTTCGTGTCTCTGAACATGCTCGACGCGCCTTTTAGAGCTACATCAGTATCGGATGGAGGTCAGAGATGATTTTCAGGATCACTCACCTGAATCGCTTCGCACAGAACTTGCACGGTAGGTTCTTGGGCTTCTGAGGGCGGGCTTCTCCGCCGTCATGTGTATTATTTCCCGGGAGGGAACCAACGGCCTCAACGGCAACGGATTGTTGGGACATCATGATGCCAGGGTTGTTTGCCTCGTGTACTTGGGGTCGGAATGGGTACTACTTGATCATGAAAGGTAGGGACGCAGGCCGTTTTGGGGTCTCGAGAGGGGTAGGGAAAGGTGCAAATGGGAACTGGAGGCTAGAGTAGTTGAGATTGGGTGGTGGAAGTTGAAGTGGCACCGTCGATGTGGGTTGGGCAGCGTATGTTTGCGCGGGATGGATGACAGGATGAGACTGCGGAGTAGCACAAGGCAATAATGCCAGAGACGACCTTTCTTCTTTTCCCGGTGCGGCCCGGCAGTAGATGGATGAACGAAGTTCGAGGCTCAGGCGACGAACTGCCCTGGTAGCACCCTACCCAACCTTGCTGATCACCAGTCTTCCTTGTTGGAGACTGTTTACCCCACGCCGTTGTGGGAATTGCCAGTTTCGGTTGTGATGTCTTTCCTCAACCCACTTTCTGTAACCTATAAATGGCCCTTTACACTCGCTTGGCCAACTGCAGCCTGCGTCAAAGGGTGCGAATGGAGAAAAGGCCGAGATGTGGTGCGGCTATGGCACGTTGTAGAAGCACCAGGGCCGAAAAGAGGTCGAGCAAGACGAGGGCGGGGAGAACCAGCGGGAGACCAGTTGGATGACCGCCAATGACACAACCTAAAGCACGTGAGAATGTCTGTGAGCCCTTGTTCGCGAGCGGGGTGATGGGTAAGATCCAGCTGTATGCTGTGTCAATTCACAAAGGTAATACGACTGGCAGTGGCTGGCTGTCGGGGGCGTGAGGAGTCGTCGTCGAGATGAGGAGAAACGACACTCGAGCGGACGGAGAATGCTGGGGAAAGATGGGTGGAAAGATGGAGCGATGTGGAGGAAACGAGGGACGACCCGAGGGATCGAAGCTGACTTCAGTCCTCTCCGCGCTTCATCCCGTCACCCAAAAGCGGAGTAAGCGCCAATCATCCGTCTCGATGATGGACGACAGGGGGGTAGAGTTTCTAGGAATGGGGGATAGTACGTACAATAATAATACTTGTTTGATATTCGGACGATGTCTTGGTTGTAAAGAAGATCTCGAGGACCTTTAGCGCGGATAGACAGAGGGCGCAGAATGCCAATGCTGGGAAGGAGAAATGAGGAGAAAGAGGGGAATGGGGGATACTGAAGAATGATGACCGTTATTGTGTTGCCCGACTTGGTTTGCTTTGTCACCCCGGCAGAGCGACGTACAGTAATGCTTGAAATGTAGACCCAGCCACTGGGTCGAGTCGGTAGGTATTCTTTGAACGATATCAATGGATCAGCCACCACGCCGGAGTGATGCCCGGGCGTAAAAGTCGCGATTGTTGGAACAGGAACGGAGACTGGGCTCTGGACAGACTGGAACAGTTTCTCCTTGTTGGTTGTCCCTGAAGCAATGTCAATGTCCGGTAGACCGTTGGAGGTCGCGTAATGATGCACAACTTGGAAGAGGTTGTTGAAAGGTACAGGTTGGAGGTACCCGGACTTTAGACTGCAGAAAATGGAGAAGAAGATCGTCAGGTGCTGTGTTGCCCGGGGAAATGGTTGCCGGGGTGCTGTTAAGCAGGCTCGTCCATTCGAGTGTGGGGAAAGGGGAGGAAGACCACCTGGGTGTTTGCAGCACTGCGACCGAGTTTGCAAGCGAACAAAGCCAACTTGAAGTCCTCAGCGTCCCGTTATGATGCGTCGCCAACTGGCGGTGCGCCGGGTGAAGTATGGGCGAGACGGGAGAGAGAGACGGAGAGAGGGACTTGAGGTCGTATCTCCAAGTTTCAAAGTTTCCTCAGATTGGGCAGCCGGGAAGGAGAGAATCGTATTTGGATGGAGACAGACGAGAAAAGATGCACGGTTTGACAAAAAGATGAAACACTGTTGACGAGCACACAGCATCATTCCCCCATCTGCTGTACTGAGGAAAGAGCGTGCAAAACTTCCCGATTAGGAGGAGCTTCCAACCCAGGAAGTGGAAACATGGCAAAGACCCACGGGCGGACGGCTGAAAACAGCATGAGGTGACGGATTACATGATGCCAACCTCAACCCGAAAATCCATGTGCGGCCAGGCAGGGCATGCCGCTTGCAACTGGCGGGAGCTCCTCCCTGCCCTCCTCCTTTCTCAGAGCTTGGTGCTTGCCTGGCCTCCAATAAATCCCCCGCATCGTTTCTCCGACGGGTACCTCAGCCCCTGGCTTGTCGGTAGATGGTGCTAGTGTCAGTATCGGGCCATCCTCACGGTAGTCTCACTTTATTGCAGGTGGTAAGATACAGTACTAACACCGGCGACAAGCCGACTTCCTGGCGGAACCAAGGCTGCATCTCCGCATGGGAAAATGGGGAAAACGACCGAGAGAAGCGAGAAGGAGGGGCCAGACGCCTGCCAGCCTGCCGAACGACGAGCGAGGGGTCAACCCCCAGCACTCCAGATGGCGCCCGACACAAGAAAGTGGCACCGCAGGTGCAAAATGTGGGGGTGGGGGAACCTGGAAGGAGCCAATCCCCAGCCATGAAGGCACATGGTTTTGGCACGCTATCGACGGCCCTTGTTGCTCAATCCGGGCCGTCGTAAAAGTTGGGGTTCAGGACTCATTTCACAAGGGCAGGTGTCTGCTGGAGTGACCGTTGCGGCCGACAAGTGCCTCGGCGAAATGGACGAGAGCTCTCCCTTCCGTCAGCACAAGGCAAGCAGCCCGATAACTGGAATCTAAGAAAGACTGGCAACGTGGGTTTCGATCAATCCGAAAACAAGCCCGGACCCGGACATTTTCTTCTCCCTGACGTTGACATGTTCGCATCCACGACGTTTGGAGTGGAGTGGCATCTCTCCAGCTCCGAGACGTCACTCTCCACTCGAAAGATGGAGGTCCGACTTCCACTTGCATGTGCTTTCCCCCGCGTGGACGCACGGGCCTTGGGCTCACCGCGCTCTGTCTTTCGATATTTGACGCCATTGTCGAGGCAATGGCTTGGAAAATATGATGCTGCGGCACCCAAGTTTGTGTCCGAGAAGAAGACGATTCAAGTTTCATTGTCTTCATCTCATCACTATAGTCAAGTGGTTTATAGGTGCTTCGACTGGTCCGAGAACCAACCACCAGCCCGCCTTGACGACTACCCCTGTTCCCCTGATCGTACTCGAGCCGCTCCGTTCCTTGCCTTGCCGACCGAACAAAAACATCCCAGCTGCATTTTCCGCTCGTCATCGAGAAACGTTGCGCGGGCTGTGTCGGCCTGGCGATGTCTGATTGGCAATGTCTGATATTCCGTTGCCAAAGTCAACGAAGAAAGGAAGAGCAATGTAACGCCTTGACGCATGCAGTTCTTCGAGAAAGCGGGGAAATGGCTAAACCCAATCGGGCTAGCGCAAGGGACGAGGAGCCGAGGAAACCGTCTGTGCCATTTTCTTGAATGTGATTTTGACCTTCCTTTGACCAACCCACACAGTCTCGGATTCAACCGACAGAGCCCTCATCATGCCGCTGCGCAATTCTGTTCCCGCCTCTTCCTTGACTTCCAGTCTAGGTATTACGAGGTCCACAGCGTCGGACAACATTGCGATATTGCCCAATCTATCGCAGTTATACGCGCGGAGAAAACAGAGAAGGAGCACTCCAAATCTCGATGCTTTGCGGAAGTGGCGCCCGCGCGTGTGGAGATGTTTTTTTCGCCAAAATCTCCTATTTGGAGATCTGGGGAAGATGGAGTGCGCCTGCCGTGGTGACCCCAGATTCCCCTGGCCAAATCCTTGACAGCGGGGAAGAGGCTTGATCGTTTTTCTGGAGACCCATGCGGAGAAGCAACCCTTTTTACACTGGAATACTCGGAACCTCCCGACCACTTCCACTTCCAATCCGTCCTTCCAATTCTTTTGCTTTGGTTTCTTCCATAAACTTGGAAGCGAGTCGAGGCAATCAAGTCCAAAGCTTCAACTTGCACCCAGATCGGCTAGAGCAGCTGAGAGCAGTCTGGGTTTGATTCCATTCAACCAGCACAAGCCTCTTCAACACCCGTATGGACCACGGAATAACTGCGACTTGCGAGCAATGTCCTTTTCTCACCTACTTCTCCACTCGACCGGCATCCGTCATCCTCACCGCCCATCCTCCTCTGGCTGGCTGGTGTCAGTCATCTCCTGCTTGCAGCTCTCCCATTTGCGGTTCGGAACATCAGGCGCCGTATTTCCGCTGCAGTGTCTCTTGCCAGTTGCCCTCAGTCTTCGATCCGGTCCTGACACTCCTACCTGTCGTTCTGGCGGGTGCAGACACTTCCAAAGTCTACTTAGTGCCCCACCACACTCGACACCTCGACTGGCAACATGGATGGATAGAAGGGATGGTAGTATCAACACCCAAACAGCCTGCCACGAGCATTACATATTACAACCACCACACACACCACTACGACATGGCCAAACACATCACGCCTGATGTTCCCGTGTCCTTTTTGCAGCAGTATCTACACGCGCTACTAATCAGAGGCATTGGGTCTGGGATTCAGTGTTACTCACCTCGTTTGTGGATGCCACTTTAGCGGCTTTCTTTCCATTTCGATACCAAGTTCAGCTTGGACGATACTCGTTCGCGCCGCCACCGGGAACACACTATGAACCAGCACTTTCTCTCGGCATAGTTCACCCGGCGTCGGAGAGCATACATCGCGGTTTACATCCGTGTTTAACATTCAGCTTGGTCGCCAAAGAGCGCTTCCGCTGCCTTTGGTCGAATCGGAACCCACCCGGCTTGACATTCAGCCATGTTTCAAGGCCATCTCCGTTCTGACTCCCGTCGATAAACCATGTCATATATGGTCTTTTCAGACAGACAGCCGACTTGAGACTCATCGTCGATTATGCCATATTTTCTGCAATGAACTCAGGATTCCCAGAAAGCGTTACACAACAGTCAGCCGGCATGCTCAAGGCCTCGACGGCATGTGAGTATACCTTTCTTTTGTCCATCAGCTTCCCAGTACAGCCAACTTATAGGATGGAGTGCCAAGATGGGCATTTTGAACCTTTTGACAGGTGATCCACCCGCTATGAAAGCCAAACCTTCCCTCACAGCTGGGTATTCAAATCCTGGGATAGAATACTATCCAGCCGCTACCCACAGCCTCGGATGTTGAGGATCCATGAGTTTAGTCGTCTTGAACTCTGGACATGGATCATCGTGAGAGAAAGTCTGTCTCTAGTACATGTTAAGTACATGTTACACGCACTGTCTTCTGCAAGCACAGTGCTGTATATGCTCGCATAGCACAGGTCACTGCACGCGTAGGGAACCGTTGGACGATGAATACGGGTCAGTCGAGTGAGGCTCATTTGCAAAAATGAAAAAAGTCACCTCAAGAGCAAATGAGTGAACAAAAGGCTATGAGTTGATAAACCCGCCTAAGTGAACCTCAGCGTCAGTGACAACACTCGCTCACTAAACATCTACCTCATCTCTCTGGTTCCTGGCATGATCTCGCGCACTCCGGCTGGTCCATGGTTCCAGATCGGACGTAACAAATGGCGCGCCTTGTCTGAGGTTACCCACCACGCTCTTCACCCTGGTGCTGGCTAGATGGAACCCAAGAACGTCCATACTTGATTTTGCACCCAGACAGAACCATCGACTTCCACGATCCGAGTCACCAGGACGCTAGAACATCCACGGAACGCTCTGTATCCAACCACTGCCATCAGGTGCTGTTGCCGTCCACAACCGCCATCTCCGACATCAGCGGAGCCCATGCCTAGTGTCACCGGTGCCGACAAACATGCATTCATCGGGTCCAGACGTTTTGAACTATGAATCTGGATCGAGTGAGTACCGGATCGCGGGGTTTTGGTCACTAGACGTTACCAAGTGGTAACATCCGGCCTTATTCTGCTGCATTGAAGAGTTAGTACCGAGAGGCAATTGGTTCGCAGTCAGCAAATCAGCGCACGGGATTCATCGGGATATGGAAGCAATGCTACCCCTTCATTTCCATGTGTGTCAAGCTTCCATTATCACTTGCCTCAATATCAGGCTTCCCCGGATTTTCTACCCCCTTCATGCTGCCCTCCAAGATCTCGGTAATGTGCGGATACATCCAGATGCATACACATCCAGACGCCATCTCATGATGGGCGCTGTCTCACTACGCCCCTTACTTCATCTTCCCACTCACCATCTCTCATTGCGAGAGGCTCGAGTGAGCTTGAGATGGGAACCTCGTTGTGTGTCATGGCCCAGTAAAGCCCTTCAGCTGACCCTTGCTCATGAGCCTCCATTTTGCGGAGACGGTGGTAGACGCCGGTAGTGGTGACGGGCCGAAGAGGATAACTCAGCGAATGAACATCGTCCCCTTCACCTTGACGGGGGCCAGGTGCGTAGGACTCTTCCCAAAGAGGATGGTCCCCCGTGGAGAGAAAAGATTTGTTTCTCCAAGGTGCGTCCTGGAGAACATTTGTGGCGTAGAGATTCGGTCCTTTCTGACGGATGGATCGTGGACTTCACTCAGGTCACGTACATTGTCCATACCAAGTAGGCAGATGGTGTGTCATCCAGCAGTTTAGATGTGATATTGGATTCATGATTCGCAGTGTTGGCACCCCTTTCATCTACCTAGCAGCTACTTTCTTTTGACGGAAATATGCGGTGGGTTCCACATCAAGGGGGTTTCGGAGACACTCAACAGCATTTCGCTACACGTGGCTGTCTGCTGAAGATCGACATTCCTCAGGCAATCAGATATATGAGCCGTTGTCCCGCGTGCTAAGGATAACACAAACTCGTGCTCCTTCATTCTGTTGTACTCCAGTGGGACACATATCCGGTCTTCTTCTCGTTACAGCCGCGGCTGTCGAACCTTCACCATGCGTTTTGGCACCCTTTTGCTGGCTGTTGCCAGCCTAACCTCTGCTGTCAATGCATATTGGATGGGGGACATTGCTCGTAAGAAGGACCACTAGCTCTTATCTACCTTCTAAGCTAACAGCGTGGATAGATCGTGGTTATGCCCCCTTCGCCTACTCTGGATATCCGGTCTTTCGAAATGTCAGGGATTACGGAGCAAAGGGTATGTTGAGCCGAAAGTGTCCCCCGAGTTCTAGGCACGATCATGTCTAACATGGAAATAGGAGACGGTGTTACGGACGATACCATTGCTATCAATGCCGCCATCACTACCGGAAATCCTTGCAACCAAGGCTGTGTAAGTGTCTCTCTGGTATCATGTTGAAGAAGCTTGTCCTAACGAAACTTTAAAGGCCTCAACCACCACAACTCCAGCTGTTGTCTACTTCCCCGCTGGAACCTACCTGATCTCCGGGTCCATCAAGCCAGCATACTTTACTCAGTTGATCGGAGATGCGGGCTCCCCACCTACGCTCAAGGCCACGGCCAACTTTGCTGGCTTTGGTCTCATCGATTCGAATCCATACTACACTCAAAACCTAAACTGGAAGGCTGTGAACGTGTTCTTCCGCCAGATTCGCAACTTTGTTATCGACACTACGAATATTCCTGCAGGAAATGCCGCGACTGGTATTCACTGGCCAACTTCACAGGCGACAAGTCTGCAGAACATCGTCTTCAACATGCCGACAGCATCCAATGTTGTCCATGTTGGCTTGTTCATGGAGGAAGGCAGCGGTGGTTTTGTCACGGACTTGACCTTCAATGGTGGTGCTACTGGTGCCTCGATGGGTAATCAGCAGTTTACTATGAGGAACTTGAAGTTTAACAACTGCAAGACAGGTATGTTTGTTACCCGCTTTTCTTTATTTCCGTGTAATCTGCTGACACTCCCAAGCCATCTATCACCTCTGGAACTGGGGCTGGACCTACTCCGGCCTATCCATCAACAACTGCGGGATCGGTATTGACATGACCGCCGGCAGCGGCAAGGTAGAAACCGGCTCCATCACCGTCTTCGACAGTTCTTTTACCAACACCCCCGTCGCCATCTCCACCTCCTGGACTACGACTACCACTCCCGACACCGCCGGAACTCTCGTCCTCGAGAACATCGCGCTCACCAACGTGCCCGTCGCCGTCAAGGGCCCGCAAGGGACTTACCTCTCCGGCTCCACCGGCTCAACCACCATCACGGCCTGGGGCAACGGGCACAAATACACCCCCTCCGGCCCCGTCGAGTTTGCCGGCGCCATTACTCCCAACCCTCGCCCTGTCAGTCTCCTCGCCTCCAGTGGGCGCTACTACACGCGCTCCAAGCCTCAATATGAGACACTTTCCGCGTCACAATTCATCTCCGCCCGTGACTCGGGCGCCAAGGGTGACGCCGCAACTGACGACACGGCCGCCCTGCAAAGGGCCATCAACACCGCCGTTGCCCAGGGCAAGGTGCTCTACCTCGACTACGGGTTGTACAGGGTCACCTCAACCATCCGCATCCCGCCCGGCGCCAAGATCGTCGGCGAGTCCTACGCCACCATCATGTCGGCCGGCGGCTTCTTCAACGACATGAACAACCCAAAGCCTGTCCTCCAAGTAGGAAGCTACAGCGGACAGGCGGGCACAGTGGAGCTGACCGACTTTATCGTTTCCACGCAGAACGCGCAGGCGGGCGCGGTGCTGATCGAGTGGAACTTGGCCAGTCCGGCGAGCAGTCCCAGTGGCATGTGGGATGTGCACACGAGGATTGGCGGGTTCGTGGGCAGTCAGCAGCAGGTTGGGGAGTGTTTGAAGACGCCCGGGAACCCGACGGTGAGAAGGGAGTGTATCGTGGCGTTTATGGCGATGCATATTACCAAGGGGGCGAGCGGGTTGTATATGGAGAATGTGTGGTTGTGGACTGCCGACCATGATATTGACGATGCTGCTCTCACGCAAATCACGCTTTACAGTGGGCGTGGTCTTTGTAAGTCCTCGGTCTTCTCATCTTCCGCTGTTCTTCTCTTTCCCTCTTTCCCTTGCTTCTCCCTTTCTTCTTCCCTTTTCCACATCCCACATCCCACATCCCATTCGCTACTTCGTTCCTTCCCTTTCACTCTTTCAGCCCATCGGGCATTTGACAATTGACACCCCCTAACATCGTTTCCCAAAATAAATTAGACATGGAATCCACCTCAGGCACCTTCTGGCTCTACGGCACCGGGTCCGAACACCACGTTCTCTACCAATACCAGCTCTCCTCCACCCAAAACATCTTTATGGGGATGATCCAGACCGAAACGCCCTATTACCAGCCCACCCCCAACGCTTTGGTTCCATTCCCCACGGTCTCCTCCCTTAACGACCCCAATTTTGCGTCATCCTGCTCTGGCGTCTCAGGAAACTGCGCAGCAGCTTGGGGCTTGAGAGTGCTCAACAGCAAGAATATCCTCGTGTATGGAGCGGGTCTGTACTCGTTCTTCAGCGATTACAGTACCACTTGCTCGACGTTTGCGGCAGGGCAGACGTGCCAGAGTAGAATTGCGAGTATTGAGGGGAGCGGGTGTTCGAATGTGAATATCTATGGGCTGAATACGATTGGGGCGCAGAGTATGTTGACGAGGAATGGACAGAGTGTGGCGTGGTATGCGGATAATGTGAATAATTTCCCGAGTTCGATTGGGGTTTTTAAGAGTGGGTGAGTTGGGCGTGGAGGTGAATCGGGGAATCCGTCAAGTGAATATTGAAGAGAATTGGGGAAGGAATATGGGGAAGTTTGGCTTGGAATAGTGGCAGGCTGAGATGCTTGGGGGTTGTACATATCAAATTGTCCCTGGTTGTGGGTGGCATATCCGTGATTTCTGATATTGAACCAAATCGTTAGAACTCAAATACCATCCATCGCTTCGCTACAGCCATTCTCACCACATCTCCCCAACTCCCATCACTGCCCCATCACTCACCCCCTTGCTTCCTCCCTCAACCATTAAGCGAAAACCCAACATCCTTATTCTCCGCTCCCATCCTCACTAGTCTCTCCCTCATCCCCTCCGCCGCCTCCCTCGCCTCCACGCCTCTCTCCCCCAACGCCGAGAAATCGCACCGTTCCACCCACTCCCCAACCCCATGCTGCAACACGTTCCTCGCCCTCTTCCCACTTGACGCGCCCGCCACATGTCCCACACTCCCATGCAACGTCGTCCTCTCCCTCTTGCTCGAATACACCCCCCTGTGCAAGATATTATTATCATAAAACGCCACGTCCCCCGCATTCAGCTGCACGACCAACTGCCCCGGCATATTCGGCTCGAACAAATCCGCAGCGCGCTCCTCATCGGTGCGTGCGCGCGTGTGCGATTTAGGCACCAAAACGAGCGAAGTGTCATTATCCACCAAGCTCAAGTTCCACTGCGTATGATACCTCGCTTCCGTCGCGGGCACCAACCTCTCCTTTTCCTCTTCCGCCGAGCAAGTAGCGGGTATGTCGTCCCGATGCCAGCTCAGCGCGAAATCCTTGTCGGGGCGAACAAGCATGTTGAAGAGCTCCATCACCAGGTCGTCGTCCCGCGTGCCTTTGGGAAGCAGTTGCTTGGCGATGGACAGGATGGCGGGGGAGAAGTAGAGCTTTAGAAAGGCGTCTTTGTCTTCTTTTTTTGGGGAGGGGAAGGTCCGGGTGTAAGAGGTGTTGGACGCCCCAGATTCCGGAACCATCAGAGGGAGGGACGGAGGGCCAGGGTGGGAATTGCTTGCCTACGGTGCGGATGTGGGGCCAGGAACCGCCGCGGGCGAGGGAGGTCAGGGAGGAGGCGGCGTGAAGTAAGGTGGTGAGTTCGGAGGGGGTGAGGATGGAGCGGATTACTACGAAGCCGTTTTGTTGGAGCTCAAGGAGGAGGGGGGAGGGGTAGGTTTCTGATGGTGGTTCGGTCATGGTGAGGGATCGTTGAAGTGGGGTGATAGGACTGGTGGTGGTGGTGATGGTGAGTTTGTTGATGGTGAGCAGTCTCGATATTAAAGGTAATATACGCAGCAAAGAATTCCGGTGAGAGCCCAAACCTGTCGTCGTCTTACCAAAGGATAAATATTTCAATGAACGAAAAGCAAACACTAGTAGTGTTAGTCAAACCCCGCTCGGGTCAGAGGTGGCCGTCGGGTCTTCAACCGAACTTGGGGAACTTTGAACGGCCAAGACATCATGTAACCTCAGAGAGCATATCATTGTGGGGTAACTTAAACCTAATGCACGATGAAGTAACGGATAGCGGCTCCAAAAGGAGCAGGATGAGGAGGAGATGGCTGATAAGAGGAGAATTTGGGGTGTTTTCGGGGCATGATTAACCCCAATTCCACGAGCTTCAGAACATCGTGAGGTGGTATTCAGCGGGGACGATGGGGTTGATACAACGTTGCAGCAGATGTTGAAGTTGATGGTCACGATGGTCAAAGTTGTGAATGTCCCGACATCATGGTAGAGTCCGATCTCATGGATCTGACATGGAGAGGACAGCACTTGACATTGGAGATCTAGTTCAGAGATTGGGGATGACATAAGCCTGCAGTCAGCCACGTGTTCTCGCGATCCAGCGACGCGAACAAACAACTGAAATCGCCTCCGGGGATCGCGTTTCGTTTGCACCTTTCTCGACTCCATTCCAACGACGTCATAACTCTGTGGTATCAAAGGATCGGATTTCAAATCATGAAACCAATCATTCATTGAAATTTACGATAACCGCCACCTCTGAAATTCGCCGTTTTGCTTTCTTCTCAACACAATTTCGTTCAAGAAAAAGTCCATCATCCGACAAAAGCAGGCAAGCAAGCAACAATGCCGCCCCGCAAGCGCAAAGCCACAGCCATCGCGCATGACGACGACAATTCCTCCCGACGTCGCTCAACGCGCGTCTCTTCATCTTCTGCAAAGAAAAGCCACTACTTCGAAGGCGATGATGATTCAGAGTCCGAATCACCAGGAGCTTCCGCCGCCGCAAAGTCCAAATCCAATGCCAAAGCCAAAACCAAACCTACCGCAACCAAGGGTCAGCGAGGCCGACCAAAGAAGAAGGCCAAAGTAGAAGCCGATCTCGACGAAGACGAAGACGAAGACGACGAAGATGTCTACAAAGACTCACCAGATGCAGAAGACGCCCAACACGACGATCAAGAAGCTTCAGAAGAAGACGAATCCGACTCCGCCTCCCCCAAAGTAACATTCATCCCCATCCCCAAACTGCGCCCCCTCGCCGGCATCCCTTACACCCCCAGCACAATCCACCCCAACACCCTTCTCTTCCTGCGCGACCTCCGCGCAAACAACAAGCGTTCCTGGCTGAAACTGCACGACGCCGAGTACCGCCGCTCCCTTTCGGATTGGGAATCCTGGGCCATGTCCCTGACGGACTCGATAGTGTCATCAGTCGACGAGACCATTCCCGAGTTACCCTTTCGGGACATCAATTTCCGCATCTACCGTGACATCAGGTTCAGCAAAGATCCGACTCCTTACAAGCCGCATTATTCAGCTTCGTGGTCGCGCACGGGACGGAAGGGTCCGTACGCGTGTTATTATGTCCATTTGGAGCCGGGCAAGTGTTTTGTTGGTGGAGGATTGTGGCATCCTGATGGCCCCGCGCTGGGGAGACTGAGGAGTAGTATTGATGAGAGGAGGGAGAGGTGGAGACGGGTGTTGATGGATGGGACGTTTGGAGAGATGTTTCTTGGTGGTGCTGGGGAGAAGAAGAAGGGGGTGAAGAAGGGGCAAAAGGGGCAGAAGGGGAAGGGTAGAGGAGGGAAGAAGGGAAAGGGGAAGGGGAAGAAATCTGGCGAGGAGGAGGAAGAAGAGGAAGAGGAAGAGGAAAATGATGGACTGGATGAAGAGAGGGCTGTTATCAAGGCGTTTTGTGCGGCTAATGCTGGGAATGCTTTGAAGACTAAACCCAAGGTGCGTCGAAATTCCCTAGTACTGTCTTTGCACTATCGTTTCTCTCTTGGGCATCATGATGTTGAATTGTGTGAGACATCGCAAGCAAACTAACAGCATTTCTCAAAAACTATGGTAGGGCTTCAATGCTGAACATAGGGACATAGAGCTGCTCAAGCTGCGCAACTTCACCGTGGGGAAGAAGCTGCCTGATTCTGTCTTCACGTCAGAAGACGGGCAGGAGCAGGTGCTCAATGTTATCAGGGCTATGGTTCCATTCGTAAGTTCCAAACCTTATTCACCTCATATTTGCAAGTTATGTTTTGATATGTGCTAACTTGGGCTGTTAATATGTAGGTGACGCACCTTAATCGCATCGTCATGCCTGATCCTGGTGACGATGACGATTCGGAAGAGGAAGAGGCCTAAAGCCTGGCGCCCGCGATGTTGAACATTCTCCTATATTTTAGATTCGAGTCCCGCGATCTTGGATAGCGATTGATATTAGGATATTGAATCGTCCCCTCTTGCGGATTTTTTTTCCCTTGTTCGTTCACAATGTGAAGATACCCACCTCAACTGCAGTGGCCATTTCACAAAAAGACAGTCTCTCCGAAAACGTAAGTAGGTGACAAGTAATAGTTGGGTATCAGAAAACTAATTTAAAAAAAAAGGGGGGGAATCGGACCCTGGTATCGTCGGTAACACATATCCCGCCAACATGACAGCGTAGAAACACATGAGCGGGGACACCGAAACTGAACGTGTCCCGGTCCAAATCCTGCAAAAACGCCTCGACCTCCCTTCCTCCCTCCGTTTTCCTCCTCGGTCTAGCCAAGCCCGTCCAAATCCGCCCTAGACTCCTTTCAAATTCGAGTCCGGCAAATCGCACCTTCCCGTTGTCAAACACATCGTGTCGCATTCGAGCTTCACCATCTCCGTAATGATCCAGTCATTATGACGTCGTTTAAGCGGTGGCAGCAGCAGCAGCCTCCTCCTTCTTCTCCTCCTCCTTCTTCTCCTCGGCAGCGGGGGCGGCAGGGGCGGCAACAACGGCGGGGGCAGCAGCATCGGCGGGAGCGGCGACGGCAGCGGGAGGCTCGGCGATGGCAGCTACGGGAGCAGGAGTCTCAGTCTCAGCAGGGGCAGCGGAAACCTCCTCCACAACCTTCTTGACCTCGTGAACAGCGGGGACAGCAACGGGCTCCTTCTCGTGAGCGATGGACACGGGAACAGCAGCCTCATGAGCGACCGGAGCACCAGCGAACTCAGGGGCGGCGATCTCGGGAATCTCGAAGGGGCTGCTGACAACCTCGGGAAGAGAAGAAACGTCCTTCTCCTCCTCCTTCTTCTTCTCGGGAACAGCAACCTCAGGGGCAGCAACAACCTCAGGGGCAGCAACAACCTCAGGGGCAGCAACAACCTCAGGGACAGCAACAACCTCAGGGATAGCAACAACCTCAGGGGCAGCAACAACAGGAGCAGCAGTCTGCTCCTCCTCCTTATCCTCCTCCTTGACCTCCTCCTTCTCTTCAGTGACGGGAACAGCGGCAGCAGCAACCACTGGGGCTTCTACCGCAGGCGCAGCGACCACAGGAGCGGGGGTTACAATAGGAACATGGGTGTTCTCACTTAGGAGCAGCAACGGCTTCCTCCTTCTTCTCCTCCTTCTTCTCCTCGACAGGAGCAGCAACGACGGCGGGAGCAGCGTGCTCGGCGGGAGCAGCCTTGGCAGCGGGAGGCTCGGCGGAAACCTCGACGGGGGCGACGGCGGGAGCTGTATTTGACAAATGGTTAGATACCTTGCTCTTGTCAAGTTGGACGCGGGTTTCGGGTAAAAGAAGCGTACCGGCAGCGGGAGTCTCCTCCTTGGCGACCTCCTTGGGGGCTTCTTGAGGGGCCTCGTTGGCAGCTAGCTCGACGGCGCCGGGAGCAGGAGCGGCGGCAGGAGCAGGAGCGGCGGCAGGAGCAGCGGCAGGGGCAGGGGCAGCGGGAGCAGCAGCGGGCTTGGTGGCATCCTCGACAGGAGCAACAGGAGCGGCGGCGGCAACGGGGTCGTGCTGAGCAGCATCGGCAGCAGCCTCGGTGGGCTTAGCATGATCGACAGGCTTGGGCGCCCTCTTCTCGGTGGGCTTCTTGAAGGCAGCCCTGAGCTTCGCCTTCAGGTTGGTGAACGCGTCGAAAGCTATGGCAGCGAGATGTCAGCCGTCTGGTTTCGCAGTTCATGTCGCCAACTGGATTCCTGGTGTTCGCTCGTAGATTGGTAATTGTTGTCGTCGTTGTCGTCGGCTTTGCGATGAGGAAAACCAGTTGATGGAGGATGGACGCGGGCAAACTTACGAACACCTGGCATTTTGGCGGTTGTTTCTGATGTGTTGTGGAAGACCAAGAAAGCGCGGAACAAGATCTATAGTATAGTCACAACTGGACAGTTTGTTAGTGATCAATGCTGAAGATATACCCACGCTTGGTTGAGGTTGTCGAGATGGAGTTGCGGATGACGCGGGAAGGAGGAATGAAGGAGCAAATGACGAGACAGGCAAACGGGAAAGTGAGGCTAAATATGGAACGCCATCCAAGGGCCAACGTGGGGGGGAGATAAGTAAAAAGGGTAAGCAATCAATGGCGCACTGCACGTCAATGATGGGGGCTGAGGAACTGAAGCTGATTTGACGAGCTGGGGGAAACGGGAGTTGAAGAGAGTCAGTCGCTGAGACGGCGTCTCCCACTGGGCTTTGAGATGCAATGTCACTTGACTACATACTCATTGCGCCTCCGACTCCCGAAGGTCTGCATCTGACGTGAGACACAAGCATCCCACAGGCATCCTTTGGTGATGAGTGGCTCGCCGTTTATTCAGATCAGCTGGTGAAGTTGCAATCTGTGAATGTCCCGTCGTTGTTGTGCTCGGTCAAGTCGGGGACCGTCCCAGCATTGAAACACAGTGATCCCCAGTGACACATGTTCTGGGCTCTGCCAATGGCTGGGCTGCCCGCATCGACTATGGCAGAGTTGAGGTGGAGGGAGGTACCGCGTCGCAACAGGAGGGAAGCCGAGGGGCTGAGGGAAGGAGCTTATCGCGATACAATATATGGCAAAATAGTAAACACACACCGGAGACTGGAAAGTTGACGACCGACAGTCTGTATACAGCTTGGCGATGGTGATGATGGGCGTTGTCAAACTTGATCTATCTGTTGGTGTGTTTTTGTTGAGGAAAGGGAAAAAGAGAAAAGACGCGAGAATGTTGTCTTGGAAAAAGTAAGTACGGGGACGAGGAAAGTCAAGAGATCGGTTGAGTGAGATTAGCGCCCGGAAAGCGAGATTAGCCAGGGAGGATGGGGGTGGGCGTTTACGAATTTGTAGGTCCAGCTCGCTTTTATTACACTACACGTGGACGACCTAGGTAAGCAACCCACCTGGAGTATACAAGTAAATTACATTACTCGAGCTGGAATGCGGGCTTGGACCTCAGTTTCGCCGTTTCCTCGTTTCACTTTCAGTTGACGACGGGATATCCTTCTCTTCTCTCCCATCTCCTGAAACAAAAAAAAAGACCAGACTGGACGATGCAAACTGTCAGGTCCCCAGGACCACCGACATGACATGACACACTGGCGCACTTCAAACTCGCAGGGTCCTTCCTCCCTCCAAGCTAGCCGCTTATGGATAAGCATAAAATCATTACCCAGCCGACCATTGCGTAGACCCCGCACTGTGACCCGTGCGCCTGCTAAAAGCCAACCCTGCATTGGCCGGCGATGAGACGCTGCAGCCCAGAGCTTGGACCACATCAGGCAAGCAAACTCGCTCACTGCAGCAGCCATCCATTTCCCAACATTGAAAGTGGAAGCTTCCTCTTTGCTCTAAAAATACTCGACAGCGGAGATGATTTCCACGTCGTGACAAGAATATCAACATCATCAATAACAACATCATCATCACGGATCAAGTTGCCTCTTCCCGAGACGAGTGGACACACATCATTTCGCTGTCGACCCACCTGGATGACTCGATCGCCCTCCTCGATAACCGAGAAATCACCATTCCAACCGTCGTTCCCGAGGCCGCCAACCAGGCCTAAAACCACTGCCAATTCCCCGAGCCACGTTGTTTCTTTTTCCCAGATCCATCCTCAACTTCCGCTCCCTCCGCTGCTCCTCCGCATTTGCCTCGCTAGTGCTCGTTAGTTGTCGCTAGTAATCTTATTTCCCCCCTCGGTACCCTCTCCCCGGATTCGCCTAGAGAGAACAAGTGTTGACAATGGCCTTTCTTCCATCTATGTACCTCCTGGTCACCTCAAGTCTTTTAGAAGAAGAGCAATTCCGAAAATCGCCACTCATTTTTTGTCAAGGCTTCTTATCGCAAGTGTTGATATCACAAGTTGTTAATATGATGTTTCTCTCCCAAGTCACCACTGAACTCTCAAGTGTTATCCCAGGGTTAGGGTTAATACCAACTCCAATTGTCAGCACTTGTTGGCTCAACGTCGCAGAGACTTGACTGCAGGTGCTTACTTGAAGCAAAATGCGTGCGGACCAATCAGCTTGTGCACTTCTCGGACATGATGGAGGTGCAGAGATCGTCGCCATACAGGTGCTCGCAACTTGAGGGAACAAGCTGCTCCATGACAGAACCCCCGTCCATCATGCGAGAACCACCATGATCTGCCCAACATGTATCGAGACCTTTCAGCAGGCTATTGACAAATTCAAGCCGGACGGGCTGGTTCGTCAAACGCCCCATCATCGAACCGTTCAGGGCTTCAGTGCTTCGGTGAAGCAGGATTGCTACTTGTGCACTCTGCTTTGGAACACACTGGAGGTAGTCCCGGACTGGTGGCCGACCTTCAAAAGTTCGTGGGATAAGGTAAGATAATCCACTGAGCCGTTGAGCAGTGGGATGTCTGACCGGCAAATAGTATCAACCGTCTCCAGATGACGATGACTGGGACCTTGTCGTGACATCTCTCGGTCTAAGGGGACTTGGCTGGAAGGGGCAGCCACAGAGCAAGAGCTACGACATAAGCATCGCGTGCCACATGCCAACCCAGAGCCGGGCCACCTACACTGTACGTTTTTATATGGAACCCATAGATGGTAAGAACTCTGTCGCCCTGTAACAAACCTCCTGGCTTGGCTAACATCATGTGACAAGGTCACGATGATGACCTTCTGTCGACACTTGAGCCCAGCACAGCCTCTCCCCCTCTCCTTGCTTCTCGCCGGGTTATGGTTGAAGAACTGTGCCGGAAGTCATGAAAGATGTAATTCGCGCCAGGAAGACGATGGCTGGCATCCGACTCGTCTCCTAAGCATTGGGCAAAACGAGCGCCTAGAGACAACAATGCGCCTGATAAACACAACCCACGAGAAGCCAACTGAACCCTATGGGACAGTCACTCATAGATGGGGTTTTACGGTTGAGGATAAAGAGCGTGTGATCCTGACCCAAGCTACCTATCCAATGTTGGCCAAGGGAATCTTGTTGTCATCGATGCCGCGCCTATTCCAGGATATCATCACTTTCGCCTATCAACTGGGTTTACGATACATGTGGATCGATGCTTTTTGTATCTTCCAGGATAACAACAACAATGACTGGCAACGAGAATCTTCCCTGATGCAGAAGGTCTATACCAACTCTTACTGCAACATATCTGCTGCGGATGCCATCAGCTGGTCCGAGTCCCTGGTAAACCCTCGAAACACGGGTCTCATTGCGTCTCCAGTCATTGAATTGAAGCGAAGTCGCGAAGATGGAACTCCGGTTCCTGCTCCCCAGCAATATCTGGTATTCGATCCAACCTTCTGGAAGCGGGAGGTGACCGAAGCACTCGTCAACACTAGAGGCTGGGTTCTCCAGGAGCGTGTCCTATCGCCTCGTATTCTACACTTCGGCAAGCGACAATTGATGTGGGAATGCTGCGAGCATAGCGCGGCCGAAACATTTCCTGACGGGCTCCATCCTCGGATAATCGAAGCCGGACGCACCATGTATAAAGATAACGACCTCTTCTTTGACACCAAATTCTCATACGCCGAGCAAAAAGGAGACGAGCTGAACCTGTACCATCTCTGGGCTCGCTTAGTCGAGTCCTATACAGCCTGCGAATTAACCTTCCAAAGCGACAAGCTTGTTGCCTGCTCCGGTCTGGCCAAGATCATACAAGCACGCATCGACGACGAATACGTTGCCGGCATGTGGCGCAAGTATCTCGAACACGAGTTGCTTTGGCAGCCATGCCTCCCCCACCCTTCCCAACCAAGATCCGCGCTCCTTCCAACCGACAAGAAGAAAAGCCATCTCCCAAGCTGGACCTGGGCCTCAATCGACCGCCCTTGCACACGCGACCCAGTGCGGTACTACGACAACCTCCTCTTCAAAGTTGAGCACGTAGGCCTTACCTACGCAACCGACGATCCAACCGGCGACATCCTCCCAGGTGCCCGCCTCCATCTCCGTGGCATCCTCATGCCCACCAAACTCCTCCAAACCACCCACGAACAGCCCGAAACCTACTGGAGGATTGTCATCGAAGGCATCCAACTCGAAGGCGTCACGCGCTACGTCGAACGCTTCATCCGGGCGCGGGAGCCCTTCAAGGACGGCTTTCCTGTCTCGCTCAACCGTTATCAGGAAACCTTTGAGGAGGAAAATGAAAACCAAAGGATTTTCGCCATGCCAGCGTGGAAGAACACCTATGGAATCGGCACGCAACGAAGTCTCATGGCGATTTTGCTGTTTCGCTTGCTGGATGCGGAAAAGGGGGTGTATGAACGGCTGGGGATCTTCAAGCAGTATGATAAGAATTGTGACTTGGTTCTTGCCATGCGTGCTGATGTGAATGGGGAGAAGAAGGAGGAGAGGGAAAGGGTGCCGTGTGTGGAGTTCAGGGAGGGGATGCATTCTTTTGTTGTGGTTTGAGGTGTCACAAAAAAAGTCCCGTTCTTACTCTCAAAATCCAACAAGACCAACAAGCCTGACCATTTTTGATATACGGAGTCGATCGGCTGGCTGTAAGTTGCCATCTGACCGACCAGGGGCAGTATAGGTGTGTAGAAGTCGTTCGCGAACCATGTGCTGGCGGGGACGGTTACGAGCGGCGAGCTGAGTGGTTGGAATCCTTTTAAATACACTACACGTGTATGGACCTAGAATGATTGAAACTGTGGAGGTTACCAATGGCGACGCGGACTTGCGAGCCAACATGCATTAGTTTAAATCAGCAGCGTCCCTCTCCCGACTTTGTTTATTCCTTCCTCAAAATGGCCGCGTGTATCTCCTCTACATCAACGCGGAAGAACTTCCATCCGTTCCATTGACCACCAATCACTTATAGGAAGGCTTCCGGTTGCCCCGAGTATCACGATATCACCATGATATGTTCCGTCTGTAAGGAAAGCCTACAACTGCTCATTAATCTTCAGAGGTCGCCTTCCTCACCTCATGGATCATCGCCGGAGGTACATCATCACAAGAGCACCAAAAGCTTCAAATCTTCCCTCGAACAAAAGTGCTACGTTTGCACACCCATCTGGGAATCGCTGAGTGTCGGTAGTCGCAAGACCTGGGAGGATGCATGGATCCAAGTGAGGACCATTTCATTGCGTTCAACTTGTAATAAATTTCTGTGTTGGAAGGTTTGTACTGATTTGGAACAGTATGATCCGAAGGATGATTCCCAATTGTTAGTTGTCACCTCTCTTACTGTGGACGACCCTCGAACACGTTGAATCTGAAGGTTATACAATCCAGCTTCATCTTCTTCATCATCATCATCATCTTCTTCTTCTTCTTCTTCTTCCCTTTTCGTGTTCTTCTTCTTCTTCTTCTTCTCATAAATCATGCATGCTTCTTCTTCTTCTTCTTCTTTCTTTCCCCCACAAGCTTCAGGGGCATACCTCAAGGAGTTGGGGTCTACGTTCATTCTTCTTGAGCCCTCAACAACGAAAAATACTTCACTTGGGGAACGCTTGAGGACACTCTTGTCGAAACGTACTGAAGAAGCGGGGTCTGTCTGTAATCGTCCACTACTGGGACGTACCACGGCTGCTTCGTTGGATATAGCAAAGAGTTGGCTTGACAGTTGCGTTGTTGGCCATCCGCTGTGTAAAGTGTCGGTCAAAGAAGTCACCTGGCTTCCCATACGACTTCTATACCTCACAGGAGGCACTGTCCAACTCATAGAAACCATGGAGACCAAGCCTACCGCTCCCTATATGACCGTTACTCACCGCTGGGGCTTTGACGATGAGAAGATGGTGCTTAACAAAGGAACATATGCAGCTCTGATAGGAGGTTTACCTATTTCCTCAATGCCCAAGCTCTTCCAAGAAGCTATGACCGTCGCCCTCCATCTCGACGTGAATTATATCTGGATCGACGCCCTTTGTATCTTGCACGACAAAGATGATCAGACGGACTGGCGTCACGAAGCCAGCCAAATGCAGAAAGTCTACTCATACTCTTTCTGCAATATTTCCGCACTCGACGCCACCTCATGCTCCGACACACTCTTCAGTCAACCTCGGAACGCAAAGGAAGAACTCCTTCCGCATATAATACACCTCAAAGTCGTGTCTGATCCTTTATCATCCTCGGGCATCGCAAAACCCGAGTCCTTCACCCTCAGTGTCTCCGACATCAGCATCTGGCAAAAACATGTCTCCACAGCCCTCGTCGATACACGCGCCTGGGTGCTTCAAGAACGCGTGCTCGCTCCTCGCATCCTCCACTTCGGCCGCCGCCAGCTATTCTGGGAGTGTCGCTCTTCACAAACCTGCGAAGCCTCGTCATCTCGTCACTTACCGCCAAAGTTGCTAGACAAGACGGTGAAGTCCATGACGGCGGGGCTTACACGGTTTCTATATTCTCGTCCATACCCCCAATGACGAAGACCCAGAAGACGCCCTGACTCCCTATATCGCCTGGCACGATCTAGTCCAAAGATACACAAACGCCAAGCTCACCTGTCCCTCGGATAAACTCGTTGCCATCTCCGGCCTTGCTAAGCTCTTCCAAGCCTGGACAGGAGACGACTACTTAGCCGATCTATGACGTCGCCATTTGGAGGCGGGACTGCTCTGGCGCCCCAATTGGGTAATGTGGGGACACGGGGCAACAAGACGGCCAGAAAGATACAGAGCCCCTAGTTGGTCCTGGGCAAGTGTTGACGGTCCTGTGTTGCCGGGTTTCCGAATCGGAGAAAGGTCGAGGAATGCAGGTTGATGATACTGGTGGAGGATGTACACTTGGACTATTTAACGAACGATAAGACGGGGCAGGTGACAGGTGGCTGGTTGCGCTTGAAGGGGAGGCTGTTAGAGACGAATCTTGTGCGCGTTTCTGCAGCCAACGGGACTGTCGGGAATCATTGTGATGTACGGCTCGATGATTACACGTGCGTTAAAGGTGAAAAGAGGGTTGGATAAGCCTGGGCTTCCGTGCGCAGAGCTTCACGAGGATGGTCAACATTCTGTCATTGTCATCTGAGGGAGTGCTGAGGAAGCAAGGTAAACCGAATTGGGAAACAGATGTATGGCCAAAGAGTCGAGCATTCGGGAAAGGAGGGGGAATTCATTTCACCAAGATACAGGCCATGATGAAGGGTCATGCACAAAGATGTTGCTCTTCGGCCCCAAGTGATCAAAGGCCTTCCCAGTATTTTGTGTTCGATTAGCACAGCGAGGTATGCAAGAGAAAAGATATACAACGGGTAAAATATTGGGAAAAGTAGTTTTCAAAGGTTGCAAAGTAAGGGCTAGGGCTGGTGACGGTGGGTGCGCGTTCGAGGAAAGAATGCTGCTCACGTCATTTCGGATGCGCGGTCGCCCCTTCCTGGACCTGGTGCGTAATTGCTGCTCGTTGGAGTTTGCGTCGCGGTTGCTCCTTTGTTTGGTAATACCTTGGGGTGACGACTTGGCGACATGAGAAACCACGATGGCTGTGTGACGGAGATCAAAGGCATGCCTGCGCGAGACTCGAATTGTCATGGAGGGATTGGAAGGAATCCGCGTTTACTGCTGCATCAGAATCCGTTAGTTATGTGGTCTAGCCTTGGGGATGTGTGTTTTCGGGCAGTGTTCTTTCTCCCATCTGGATGATTCGGGGGGCGCTTTCTCTTGGTGTCTTAAGAAATTCTGAGCGTATTGCGTTTGGTGTTGGTCGATGATATTGGAATGATTGTGAAATGTTGGCTCGGATATGCTGCGTTCAATTGTCAATGCAAAGAAATATCCTCCAACACCAACGATCAAGCAGTGCTCAAGTCCGTCGCCGAAGATTGTCATACCCAAAAGTCATCCATCCGGGCTCCACGACCAACACTCGGCACGGGTGTGGATGTTTCTTCATCAAACTTGTATTGTCGGTGCCGAAGCCCATCGTGGTGTTGGTTCAGCTCATACCGGACTATGTTGTGAAAGACAAGACGAAAACAGTCTCGTGAATCATCTCTCTTTTGTCGACACCAACAACGCTGCTTCCAATATCCGCTTCGGTGAACATGATGCATCGACAAACCTTCAGAGTCGAGCAGGCCTGAGAGCAGCCCAGTCGACAGTCAACGACTCAAAGTGCATATAAACAGCGGTTCCCGACCTGTTCCTGGTCTTCCCTTTCCTCATCACCACCAACATTCACACATCCACACCAACGAGAACCACTACTACAACAACTACAACAATTACCAACAACAATAACTCACAACCAATAACCAACAAATACCAAAGCATTGACAAAATGTCTACTTGCGTCGCTACCCAGACTTTCACCCAGGTCTCCCCCAAGGCCTACCAGCCGGAGTCGGACTACACCACCTCCGCCGGCCCCAACAAGCCTCGTCCCGGCAGCCCCGGTCCCAACAAGCCCGACAGCTGTGGCATCGAGCCCGCCGGTCCCATTAAGAGGAACAATCCTATCCCTCATCCTCAGACTCCCTTGGTCCCTGTCCCCAACAGCGACGGCGAGGGCAATTCCAAGCCTGCCCCTCGTCCCCCTACTCCTCACCCCAACGGTGACCTCCTCGATCTGGACCCCATCCCCCATCCTCAGACTCCTCTGGTCCCGGTTCCCAACAGCGATGACATGCCCGTCCCTCGTCCCCAGACTCCCTTGGTTCCAGTAACCTCTGACAACTCCGACGACGAGTGCATCGATGAGGACATGCCGAGCCCCCGTCCTCAGACCCCCCTCGTCCCGGTTACCTCTGAT